CATGGCAGTTTGTGGGACAATGATGTGGGCAAATTGCCTCGGGCAAATTGCATTTCGCCTATAGATGTACAGTCACTGCACTTCACAGTATATCATGCCAGCTCTATGAAAGAGACTCACAGTCTCTTCAGACCCATTCTCCTGAGTCTCAAAATATATCGCTTTAACTGTGCTTTCTATCATGTTTTCCCTCTTCAGCTCCCAATCCCAGTTTGGTTGCCCATCCAGTGTTGTCAAGCACTTTTGAGATATCCTCCTGACATGAAAGGCATTATATAAATGTACATATTATTGTATTATATGTTTCTCATACCCTTAAATAATTTTCTATTTAAAATATTAGTCTAATTCCTCTTCAAGAAGCTATGATAAATTCTGCTTTTACCGTGGATTTTGGTGGGATATTTCACATGCTATCAATCCACAGGGTAAAAGATATTTTAACATCTCTGTTGTTTTTCAATGACTATCTTGATTTTATACTCTTTAGATACTAACAAGCAGTGGATCAGTGGAAATAGAACCTCCTGATAAGATTGTATTTAGGTCCATAGAATTATTCCCTCAATGTTCATACCTCACTCCTCTGTCCTCCTGCTTTGCTCAGCTAACACAGGCCTGCTGCACATCTCCCAACCCTCTCTGCACCACCATCAGTGGCCATGCCTTCAATCCCTAGGTCCTAACCTCTGGAAATCCCTGCCTCAATCCTGCCACCTCACCACTCTTTGTTTAAATCCGACCTTAATATCTATCAAGATCTATCTCTTCGACTGTGCCTATGGTCACCTCCTGGTTGGATATCAGTAGAGACCTACTTTTTGAACCTTTTTAGTGGATGGGGGTGGGGGAGCCAGAAAAAGTGAAAGCCTTCTCATTTTGTCTAGCTGTTTAACAAAAGATTTTTGGCACGTCACAGCTGCTGGAAGTACTGGGAGGGTAACAGTGCTTAAGTGTCTTTTGCTATGTAAACGTAACACATGAGTTTATCCTTCCAAACGATCTACAATTCATTTGCTGAACCACAAGACAATTCTGGCCATTGACAAACTCTGCGTTGTCTTTCTATTTACTGCCAGCTGTGACCCAGCTCCTCAGACAGCTGTTTTGAATCGTACGAATACAATCAGTTCCCAGTACTGTATGTTGGTACAGCACTTGTACTGTACATCCCCTTCCTGTCAATCATTGCCAGCTACTAGATTAGAGTAAAAGATTTGAATATCTACATTGATGCTACTGGATTTGTGAAAGCAAAACCTAGCATTCAATGATCCCCTCCACCCCTCGTGAAAATATAGTCGATTCACTGTACGGTGTATTCTGTGAAGTGCTTTGAAAGGTCTCAATGACATAATAAAGCGAGGATTATTATATTATTGCAAGGATTATTACATTATTATTAAAATAAGATTTACATTGCTTAATGATCCACAGAAGGACTCCTTTTTAACCAAACACCTCTTTACCAGCACTCACCTGGAAGACACAGCGTATGCTTTGGAACTGTCATTTTTAGTTAATTCTCAGTCTGTCTTGAACCGTTTGCCTTCCCTATATTCATCTTTTATTTACCTGGAAAACACACAGTCACTCCACTTCACAGTAAATCCTGTGAAGCACTCTGAGGTGCCCTCCCGACGTGAAAGGCGCAATATCAAATACAAAGTTCACTTATCTACGATTCATTTGCTGAACCACAAGACAATTCTGGCCATTGACAAAATCTGCGTTGCCTCTCTATTTAGTGCCAGCCATGACCCAGCTCCTCAGACAGCTGTTTTGAATTGTACGATAATATCTTATTCTTATATTTTCCTTCATAACATAATAGTCAGTTTTGGGGCTTTTGTCTTTTTAAACGTTAAACTGTTTTAATATAAAGCGCTTTGAGACGTCTTGAAGATGTGATAAGGTGCTATATCAAGTGCAAGGATTTTTATTATTATTTTATTGATGATTACAATTTTCAATACCACAGTTACTTTCCTCTCTGTGAATTTCTGACTAATTTTTTATCAGCCTGTGTTGTGAATGTGAGACATCAAACCCCTTTCACTGGGTTTCAGTCTATATGCCATCGACCCATTTTCTTTTAATTGGCTCAGTCAATGCTATTTGCCTTTTAAGCCCTGTAAATGCAATGCTGAAAGTGGTGCAATGTTCCTCCCACGTCTTTTATCTATGACGTGAACCAAATATTGGTCAAATGAAGACAAAGTTAATGGTCACATACCTCAGAAGTCTAAAATTCTCATGCTTTTAGCCTTAAGATCATTGTCGTAGAACTTTGAAAAATTTCTTAAGTGTAATGTTGAGTTTTCACTGTTCTTTAAAAAACTTTTGAAGAGAGATTTGGAGACTTGACTTTCCAAATTAAAGCTGAATTTAAGAATTTTCCACAAATCTAAGGTGACGGTTTCATTCTTAATCCAGTTTCATTAACACCTTCTGTTAACAACAACAACAAAATTACATATGTATAGCGCCTTTCACGTAGGAGGACGTCCCAAGGCGCTGGACAGTCAGTGTTTTGGACCCGAGCTGGGGGTCAGGGTCGGGGGTGGAGGGCAGGCGGAGAAGCAGGATGATCGAAAGCACGGTCGAAGAGGGGAGCCTTGAGATGGGTCTTGAAGGTGGCAAAGGAAGGGGCGAGGTGGAGGGACTGCGGGATGGAGTTCCAGAAGGTGGGGGTAAAGTGGCAGAAGGCCCGCCTGCCAATAGTGGGGCGAGCGAGGCGGGGGACGTGAAGTAGGTCGGAGCCCGCTGACCGGAGGGAGCGAGCAGAATGGTAGGGGTTTAGGAGGTCGCAGAGGTAGGGGGGGAGCAAGACTATGGAGGGCTTTGAAAGTGAGGACCAGGATCTTGAACTTTGTCCTCTGTGTGATAGGAAGTCAGTGGAGTTGGGCGAGGATGGGGGTGATAGGATCATGGAGCCTAGTGCGGGAGAGTACACGGGCTGCAGAGTTCTGGATGATCTGCAGCCTGTGGAGGGAGGAGTTGGGGAGGCCGACAATCAAGCCTCGATGTAATGAAGGCGTGTATGAGGGTTTCGGCGGCCTGTGGTGTGAGACAGTGGCTGAGTCGGGCGATGTTGCGGATGTTGGGAAGTCAGAGCGGCTCTTGGCACAGATGTGGGGTAGAAAGGATAGTTGAGGGTCAAACAAGACCCCAAGGTTCCAGACTGGCTTAGTAAGATGGATGGTGGAACCGTGGATGGTGATGCTGTCAGTGCCTGAGGTGAGGAAGCACTGACGGGAGCCAATCAGGAGGGCCTCGGTCTTGTTGACGTTCAACTGAAGAAAGTTAGCTCTCATCCAGGACTTGATGTCTGACAGACATTCTGTCAGGACAGCAGTGGTCCTGAAGTCAAGTGTGGAGGCAGAGAGGTAGAGTTGGGTGTCATCTGCACACATGTGGAAGTTGACACCATGTCTGCAGATGATATCACCAAGAGGGAGCATATAGATATTGAAGAGGAGGGAACCAAGAACAGAGCCCTGAGGAACACTGCACGAGACGGTGCAGGGGCTAGAGCAGAAGTCGTTTGTGGTGATAAAGTGGAAGCGGTGTGAGAGGAGTCTGAACTAGTCAAGGACAGAGCCGTTGAGATGAGAGGAAAGGCGGTGGATAGGGATAGAGTGGTCGACGGTGTCGAAAGCATCAGAGAGGTCAAGGAGGCAAGGAGACAGAGGGAGTCCTGGTCGCAGATGGACAGAATGTCATTAGTCACTTTGACCAGGGCTGTTTCTGTGCTGTGGATGGCATGGAAACCCGATTGGAGAAGTTCGTGAAGGGAGTGGCGGGAGAGTATAATGTACCAGGTAAGTAAAAAGAAACAAGTTCACTCTTGACCTTTTTATGGCTGTCTTCGTATGATAAGGTAAGTCAAGTCTTAACGTTGACAAAGAAAGAAAATGCTGTGATGATCTGGGGCCGTGTTTTATGACTAAAAGAGGCGCATCTTTTCTTTCTGTAATAGAATCCTGCAGACAGTAAATGCCCCTTAAAGTAGGGTGAACATAAGTGCCCGATCTCCAGGGATAATCCCAGGATGAGGATTCATGGGGCCGAAGTTGCCCCGTCTTGAGTTCAGCAACAAACTGAGCAAGAACAATAATTTTTTAAAACCGATACACACATCAGAGAAACACAGCTCATTAATCCAACAAGCTTCTGCAATCCGGCCAGCATCAGCAATTGAGATAAGTTCAACTTTTTCATGTGTGGGTCCTTGGATTTGGTTTACAAAATATGATCACCCTATCTTAAAGGAACCTATCAAATCCAAACCTGTTCTGCTCCAAGATAAGTGCGCTGCCATCTTTTAATCTCGACACATGTAGTTAGTTATCCACCTGGAGTAAGCTTCCTGTCCTATGTGGAATTGAGGGTTAAGCTATTTTCACACTGCTAAAGGTACATGTACATGTTACATGTTAAAGTTACAAGGTGCATCAGCTGGAATCTAAGGCAGGTAGGTGTACTTTTAAGATGATGGGTTTGTACCATATATTTCCCCCTGACCCTCCACCCACCCTTCCCAGCTCAAGGCCTGAACATGCAGGTATTGTCAGGGGAAAGGACTTGTTGAAGAGGAAGCACATTTCATGCTTGGACCAGGAAGTGTATAAGCAAGCCATCAATTTCAAACAATAACAAATGCCAGCACTTGTTGTTCTGTGAACACGTCCATCCCAGATTCATGGTTAAATTCCTTTGAACAATCCTTCAAAGGCAGACATGGCCCTTTCTTAAGAAGTTTGGAAACACAGCAGCAATGTCCTTGAGAACTCCTTGTGCATGTTGCGTGGTTTTGTTTGCAGGAATAGACGCTCTCTTTATGTGCTGCCTCAGTTTGGCTTGCAGGATGTGTTTGTTTTCCTGCATCCTTGCCCAAAGTGAAAGGTTAATTGTGTCACCACGACCTTGTTGAGTCGACATGGCACATCAGTGTCGTTTGATCCAGCACTAATGTGTTTGCCTTTTGCTTTTACCAGCTGTGTGTCAACATGGATGTAAACACGGCGAGTGCGTGGGACCAAACAAATGCAAATGTTACCCTGGCTACACTGGCAAGACATGCAATCAAGGTAAGGAACAGAGATCTTTTTGTTACCCAACGCCCTGTGCTTTCAGCTTTGACAATGTTACAGTCACTGTAAAAGTCAGTCAAACATGGTAAGTAGGCTTTAATGGAGAAAACCATACTTATCTTGGCCAGAACCTCTGTGTGAGATTTGTAACTCTTTGATTCATTATTTTAAAAACAGGTTGTAACAACAGAGGAGTCTTTTAAGATTCTTGTATAAACCACCTTTTGGTATAGCTGTATACTCTATTTACTCTACATCCCAAGATCAATCAGACCCTTTAAAGCTTATTATAGTCCAGGCTGACATTCTGTATATGTAGCATTGTAGTATCCAGAATTTGGCAAATTATTCAATTCAATCTTAATTTTAAAGCCGGTTTTCAACGTTTCTTAAAAGAAACTTGCAGAAAACTGGCTGCAAAATTAAGACTGTACTGAAGCATTTGCTAAATTTGGGACTTTCTTAAATGCTACATAAATAGATTCAATCTAAACCCAGGTGGGTTTCATGGTTATCCCTATGGTTGGCACTATTCGAAAAAAAAGGGCAATTTCGCCCAGTATCACAAGATTAGTTTGGATGCAGAAGCCATTGACCCATCTAATGTCTTCCCTCAGAATATCCACCTACCGTTCCCCCATCACAACGTCAATCTACTAAATAAAAATAAATGGTAATTCACTTCATGACTGTTTAAGTGAGATTGTGAGTTTGCCTACAAACACTTCATAAAGAACTCTGCAAAGTGCTTTGACACAACACAGTTCATCGTGAGAAATCCAAACTGAATGGACTGAATATTTGACGGAAAAATCAATCCTTGTGCATAAAAATATAATAATCTCTGCATTTGATTTAGTGATGATCACTTTGGGAGGATGTCTCAAAGTACTTCACAAAGGATTTACTGTAAAGTGTTGTGACCACACTATTGTGTAAGATACAAGCTGTAGATGTAAAAAGCAAAGATTGTTTCTTTTTAACCATCCAGCTCCCTATGGTATATAAAGGCTACTTCTTATTTTTAATGTAAACATTGGTTAATTTAATTCTGAATGTTAAAAGAGAAGGGAGTTTCTCCCAGTGTCCTGGCCAACAATCCCCCAAATAAAATTGGTCACTTACTTCATGGCTGTTTATGGGACATAGCTGTGCACAACTGGCTGCTGCATCTAGCCCACAAAATACTCACTTTACAGTATATCCTGTGAAGCGTTTTGAGACACCTCGATGACAGGAAAGGCGCTAAATCAAATGCAAGGATTATTTTTATTATGATCATTATTAATAAATGTTGGTTACTGCCTTGATGTGTTCCACTGCTGGTTGTTTAATAGTAACACACTGGTTAATTTAGCCAATAGAGGTTACAATTCCAACCAGCACAGAAGCAGAGCTCTTCAAAGTAAGAGTTGATGAAAAACCACATCTGTAACTTGGGTTGTGTCCAATGGAGAAACGTGTTCCTTGTTCACAGTCTGTATCCCCATTGCCATAAACCTGGCCCTTCCACTTACCTCAGTGAGTTGGTGGTGACAGTCGTTAGATTTATTGTGGGTTTAAGTACAGCAGTGTGTATAAATATTCCGACCGTGTCTGCCATAGCTCAGGATCAGGCTGTGTGTATTTGTAAGCAGTAGTTAAAGTGGAAATTACTATAAACTGTCTAAACACTACATTGGACCAGTACGTAATAACTACACAATGTTGTTATGCCAAATACGTTTTTTTAATATCTTACCACCAGTATTAGTGGTGTGGGGGCGGGGTGGGGGTTAGGAATGAGATGCTTCCAGATGTTTTGAAATCTACTAATGTCAAATTGGGGGTTGTATCCCTTGTTTCAGTTGTACCACTCCCCCACTGGAGCTCACTCACTCCCTCACTGGGGCTCTCTCCCCTATTAGGGCTCATTCCGCCACTGGGGCTCATTCCGCCACTGGGGCTCATTCCGCCACTGGGGCTCATTCCGCCACTGGGGCTCACTCCTACACTAGGACTCATTCACCACTGGGGCTCACTCCTACACTGGGGCTCACTCCTACACTGGGGCTCACTCCTCCACTGGGGCTCACTCCTCCACTGGGGCTCATTCCACCCACTGGGACTCATTCCACCCACTGGGACTCATTCCACCCACTGGGGCTCATTCCACCCACTGGGGCTCATTCCACCCACTGGGGCTCATTCCACCCACCGGGGCTCATTCCACCCACTGGGGCTCATTCCACCCACTGGGGTTCACTCCTACATTGGGGCTCTCTCCCCCACTGGGGCTCTCTCCCTCACTGAGGCTCTCTCCCCCACTGGGGTTCACTCCTACACTGGGCTCTCCCATCCACCTGGACTGATTCTCTCTACTGGGGTTCTCTTCCCCCACTGGAACGCACCCCACACTGGTGCTCACTTCCCCACTGGTGCTGCCTCCCCCACTAGTGCTCACTCTCCCACTGGGCTATCTCCTCTCATTCCTTTTCCCCGACTGGGTTATCTGATCACTTTTCCCTGCTCTTTCCAAGTACCTTAAATCTTATTTTTCCTCACATATTTATTCAATTAACTTTAAATGCTGTAATGGACTCTCTTCTAGATATTCCTATATTCCCCGTTGTTGCTAAGTGCAGGTGGGCTGTTACCCTAAAGTTCAATATCATCATTAGATTATGAGACTGTGCTGAATGGTTTCATTTTGTGTTAAGAGAGAGAGAAACAAAACATTCTTCTGACCTTTCTTGCAATTTCTTATTAATTTGTAGTTTGTTCAGAGACTGGTGAAGCTGTTTGTTGTACACTTTATTGCAGTTCCCAGCAGCCAGCATTTGTCTTTATGAATGTCGGTTTGATAGTTCTTGACCTTATGTGCTGAAGAGAGCTGAGAATTGACTAGCTGAAAGATGCTGTAAATGTTGAAATGAGTCGACTCAGGGGAGCAGCAAAATGCTGTACTGTATACCAAATAAGGAAAGGCAGCATTTCCCAGTATTCCCAGTCCTTGCCAGACTGCACTGACTGTCTGTCCCAGAGAGGATCGATTTCAAGATCCTCACCCTCATATTCAAGTCACTGCACTCCTCTGCACCCCCCTACCTCTCTGACCTCCTCTCTCCTCAGCACAGTACCTGTTGCCTTCGTTCCTCCAGGTCTGGCCTCCTCCTTGTCCCCCGAGTCCTCCGCTCCACCCTCGGCAGTGGGTGTCTTCAGCCACTATGCCCCGAGGCTCTGGAACTGCCTTCCTCACTCCCTTCATCTCGCTCCCTCCTTTCCCATTTTCAGGTCTCTGCTAAAGACCTTTCTTTTCAACCGCGTCTTTGGTCACCTTCCCACCCCTCCCCGTGGCTCGGTCCCGGGATCCGAAACTGTAAAGCGCGCTGAGACGCTGTCTGGCGTGGAGGGCACTATATAAATCCAAGTTGTTGTTGTTGTAACACATGCCCATCTTTTTCACTTCTTCAGTTTGTTCCATACTCTTGTTCTGTTCATTTTTCACAATCCCGATTTTTTTTTTTACATGGGTATTCTCAACAGCCACAGAAATCTCAGTGTAAACTGGTCATATGACATTTCATTTGATTTTTGGTGTGTCATCACCAAGACGTTGCTTATAGTTTACAGATAAACAAAGGCGGGATGGACGTAGTTTCACGTGTCTGAAAGCTTGCTAGTGTTATTAATAGAGGTTGTCATCAATGTAGTGCACATTGGGTACTATTGCTGGCTTCCCTCAAAATGCCTGGCATTGCTTTCCTAATAGAGAGGATAGAAGCATGCCAGATATCTTTACTTAATTAATAATAATCGTTGAATATGCCTTGTCTATTTCTGTTGGTTCATATGTTTTTAAATCATTTGCATCTACTTCTGCTGAATGTCAGTCTAGAATGTGCTTAGTCCCAATAATAATAATGTAATAATAATAATATAATAATAATCCTTACATTTGATATAGCGTTTTTCACATCTTCTCGACGTCTCAAAGCGCTTCACAGAATATACTGTAAATTGAATTGACCATATACGTGAAGTCCTGTAGCTCAGTGGTTAGAGCACTCGCTTTGCAAGCGAGAGACCTGAGTTCAATTCCAGGCAGAGGGCGAAACCTTGGGCAAGTTTCCTTACTCCACACGCCTAATAATAATCCCTCCAAAACCAAAAACAATAATAAATTGGTCATTTTCAATCTACGACTGTTTGTGGGACATTGCTGTGCGCAATTGGCTGCCACGTTCGCCCACAAATATAGTCAATTCACTTTACAGTGTGTTCTGTGAAGCGCTTTGGGACGTCCTCCCAACGTGAAAAGCGCTGTATCAAATGCAAGGATTATTATTATTATTTGTGGGTGAAACGCGGCAGCCAATTGCGCACAGCAGTGTCCCACAAACAATCGTGGATTGAAAATGATCAATTTATTATTGTTTTGTTTTGGAGGGATTATTATTAGGCGTGTGGAGTAAGGAAACTTGCCCAAAGTTTCGCCCTGCCTGGAATTCAACCCAGGTGTCTCACTTGCAAGGAGAGTGCTCCAACCACTGAGCTACAGGGCTCCTGTAGGACTAATATGGTTTTATATGGTGGACTAATATGGTGTTATGGTCTTTTATTCTTATTACTGTTTAAGTGAGAGCCAATGTGATCAATGCTGAATATTGTCAAACAACGTTGAGGATAAAAGGCAAAATACTGCAGGTGCTGGAATCTGAAATCAAAACAGAAGTTGCTGGTAACACTCAGCAGGTCAGGCAGCATCTATGGATAGTGTCTAGTTTCATCAGTTCAGAATGAAACTGAATTATTCAGTTCAGAACTGATAAAAGGTCATTGACCTGAAACATTAACTCACTTTCCTCTCTCCATAGTTGCTGCTTGACACATAGAGGATAGGAACGGTGATGAAAGGATTGAGTGATGAATGGCAAAGATGAAATGGGATCCTTGCCTTTCCAGACAATTCTACCTTACTCAGTTTACTCAGATACTGTGTACTATGTTTATGGTCATGTTTCCACATATACGTGTAAATATTCATATATAATTTTTATGTTTTTAGGCGAACCTACCAGCCAATTTCCAAACGGCAATGTCCCACTAACCAGTGTACGTCTCACATGCCGAGCATTTTCTGAATCAGCCATTACATATGAAATACAAAACTAAAAAATTAGATAAATTGTTGGAAAAAATATGCATTTGCCCACAAAATACTCGCAGTCACACCATTTTATGGTATATCTGGTGAAGTGCTTTGAGACGTCTTGACGATGTGACAAGGCGCCATAGGAAATGCAAGAATTATTTTGACTATCATGGTAAAAGGTGTGATTTGGGTTGAGACTGAGAGTGGCTCTGGGTTCTGACTTTCCCTCATTCTGCACAGATTTAAATGAATGTGGTCTGAAGCCTCGGCCGTGCAAGCACCGGTGTATGAACACGTACGGCAGCTACAAGTGCTACTGCTTGAATGGCTACATGCTCATGCCCGATGGCTCTTGTGCAAGTAAGTGGTTGATATGCTTTGACATACCCCTCTGTTCATGGACATCTGGCTCAGAATGGTGATGTGAATCACATGGCTGACAATGTGACAAAGGTTTGACTTATGTTTCGAATGTACATTCGGCAATTCTGAAAATGTGGCCTTGTAGTTTTAAACCAGTCGCTGCTACAGTTTATAGAAGCAGCAAGAGTTTATTGCGATTCCCAGTTTGTGAATGAATTAGGAATTATCTCAAGGAGGACCGTGGATGAACGGAAAGGAGAGGTGGACGAAGGAGAGTCCAGATTTTGACCAGATAGTGGTTTAACAATTATTTAACAAATAAAAATTTAAGAAGTTAAAAAAGACATCAAAAATGCATTAAAAAGAAAATTCTGAAATGGCGGAGAGAAGAAACCATTGTCAGAGGTGAGGGGGAGGGAGAGCTTTCATCCGTGAACCTAATGTTAAGCACAGAACTAAAACAAGTACAAATAATGTCCTTGCTCATGTCCTGATGGGTATGTAGGTCTTTCCTTGACAAATGAGCATGAAAATGAACATCACGTAGAACCATAGAACTATAGAAATTTACAGCACAGAAGAAGGCGATTCGGCTTATCGTGTCTGTGTGGTACATTATCAGATACTTTCTCCTATGCTATGTTCTTGTGTAACACATGCAGATTAACATAGGTTCAAGAAAAAGGACAACAAGGCCTGAGTTGCAGTCTGGTCAAATGTACTCCAGCTTCAGAAATGTAACACTTGCTTGGACTTGATTAATCACTGCTATAAGCATCATATGAGTTGTCTTAGTGGATAATGGTGGGTAATTTACTGTCCATGCCCTTTGTCAGATACCATGTCATGTTTGATGGCAAACTGTCAGTATGGCTGTGATGAGGTGAAGGGAGAGATTCGCTGTCGCTGCCCATCTACTGGGCTGAAGCTTGGACCTGACAGAAGGACGTGTGTGGGTATGTATGTACAGGGGGAGCCTTGTTAATCTGTTGATGTATCAGCGTGGCTTAGTTGGTAGCAATCTCACCTTTGGATCAAAATGTTATAGGTTCACACAGCACATTGAGACTGAACTCAGACTAGACGCACATTCGAATGCAATGCTGAAAAAAGATTGCATTATGCGAGGTTCCATTGTCCAGATGTTAAACGTTAAACCGAGGTCCTGTCTGCCATTTCAGGTGGACATTAAAAGGGAGTTTCTCCCGATGTCCTGGAAAACATTCCTTCAGATAATTTGGTCATTGACTTCCTGGCTGTTTCCAGGACCTTGCTCTGCACAAATTGACTCTTACTTTCATGTATACTTTACAGCAATTCCCTGTGAAGCGCATTGAGATGATTTGATCTTATAGACATTTTGTCAAATGTAAGAATTATTCTAAAGGGGACCTAGGTCTTTCCTTGATAAGTGAGCAGGAACACCATCAGCACTGAGGCTCCTTTTTGGTCCTTCAGTTAATAGACATAACTAATTAAGTTAATTCATTTAAATGAAATTATTTACATTTATTTTTAATTAATTAAATTAATTTCTGTTTTGCCCAGAAAATGCACAGTTAATTCACTTTACAGTATATCATGTGAAGTGCTTTGAGACATCTCAAGGATGTGATAAGGTGCTATAGCAAATGCAAAGATTATTATTGGGACATCTATTTAAACATGAATACAGATTATTAACCAGAGTTCAGAAGGAGTTCTTGGTTCCTACAGCCCACTCAGATCTGGGTCTAAACTATGAGAGTGGAAAAACATTTGTAAGTTGTGAAACCCGAATGTGCAGCCGTCAATCCTCTTCTATCTCTTTTGGACAGCGACATTAGGTTGTTGGGTCATTTCCAGCCCGAAAGGTGCCATTCACAGGAACATAAGAACAGGAGTAGGCCATTCAGCCCTTCGAGTCTGTCCCGCCATTCTATTAGATCATGGCTGATCTGTACTTCAACTCCATTTACTCACAAAAATTGGTCACTTCAATCCACGACCGTTTGTGGGACACTGCTGTGCGCAATTGGCTGCCGCATTTGCCCACATAATATGAAGTCAATTCACTTGACAGTATATTCTGTGAAGCGCTTGGAGACGTCTAGGTCTCTGGCCATGCACATATTTATATAAAGGTTTGAAGCTACAGAACGTTTCGCGAATTACTTTTCTCGTCCTCTCGATGCAGCTGAGAACGTGGCGATGCAGTGGCATGTGAGTCGAGAGGAGCAGGACAAGTTTGCTGTACAGTCCCAGAACCGAACTGAGGCAGCACAGAAAGCTGGCTATTTTGAAAAAGAAATTGTTCCTGTCTCCGTCCCTTCCAGGAGAGGTATGTGCTGTACTCCTAGCACGTGTGAGTGCGTGTAGGAGAAGGTTTCAGAAAGTTGCATATTCTAAGCTTTTTCAAGCCTCAAAAACAAATGTCATAGAGGGGACCTCTATAGAGGTATATAAGATGCTGAATGAGATTGAGAAAGTAAACCTACAATAATATATTCAGATACACCAGGCCAGCAGAAAACAAGGTACAGTTTCAGAGTTGTAAAGGACATTATTTAGGACACACAACAAGAAGTGTTTCTTTACACGTTGCTGCAACTGCAGTAGATTACCAGGAGGGATGGCAGAAGCTAGGTTGCTGGACACTTTTTTAAAAAAAACTATGCGGTAATGAGAGATGATAGCATGGATATTCTGGAAGGCTCAGATTGAATAGGCCGAAAGGTTTTATTTATCCAAACCTCTTTTGTGATCTTATGTCATCCAGTCTGCCCTAAACCCTATGGGCTTGCAAGAGGTCTTCCAAACTATTTGGCACTCAACCAGACAGAGGCCAACATTATTCACTTCGACTAACATATGTGCCACACTTGTTTTTAAATGTATAACACTTATAATGAAATTAAAATTTTATTTGGTACTATTGTGTAGCCTCGAAGTGCTACATTTTAATTAGGAGCCTTAATAATCTAACATCATCCTCTCTCTCTCTCTCTTCAGGGCCTATCGAGGTGTCAACTGATGAGTTTCCCCGTCACGGAAGCACCTTCGAAGCCATGTCTAAACTAAAGCCGGCTTTTGCAAAGGGCGTATCTGGCACTGTCACTGCTGCTAATGCTTCAGGTCAGCAGAAAGAATCACTTTTGTAATTTGCTTATAAAGTCGTTGAAAAGAAGGCAGTAACTTTACTGACAACACACTCTGTTTGCTGTTCTGCAGGAATAAATGACGGGGCCGCAGCTGTGATTCTGATGAAGAAATCAGAAGCTGACAAGAAATGCCTGAAACCTTTGGCTCAGATTGTATCCTGGGCCGAGGCTGGTTTGGATCCTGCCATTATGGGAGTCGGGCCTATAGCAGCAATAAGGAAGGCCGTAAGTAATACAAGAATATTGTTAATACTTATACCTCTTCACAGCATAGAGCCTTAACCAGACTCAGACATGTTCATTTATTAGCACAACTCTACTTTTATATGGTGTTTCCTGTTTTGGGAATGGGCTATCCTGCAAGTGAGAGAATTGGCAGCTATTCTGCCCCCAGGACTCTGCTATTGTTTTTTAAGCACCTGCAGGAGACGAGACTGGGGTCATGGCTCAACTCCAGGTATCTCCCTTTCCCATTTGGAAAAGGTCTGCTCGGTCACTCCTCACATGGCTGATATCATTGCCTGAGGAGCGGTCAAATTGTGTCCCCCCTGAAGTAGGGTCAAGTAGATTGTTTCCTTTTCAACCAATGATTCACCCACTGTGCATTCCATCATCTTCAGATTCAAGGGTAATGACTTAGATTTACTATTTATTCTAGGTAGAAAAAGCCGGCTGGACGCTGGATGAAGTTGATCTCTTCGAAATCAATGAAGCTTTTGCATCACAGTCTGTAGCTGTTGTCAAGGAACTGGGTATAAACCCAGAGAAGGTGAGAAATGTAGATATAAAAATTGGCACTACAACTAAATGCAATTGATCCTTTTTACTTCCTGATTCACCCAATGGGTCAATGTGGGATGTAATAAAACAAGAAATTGCATTTATAAAGCGCCTTTCATGTCGGGAGGATGTCCCAAGTTGGATTCGGGAGGGATGGGGGCCAGGAAGATGACCGGTCAGAGGAAGGTTTTGAGGACCTTGAAGGAGGTAAGGGAGAGTTGAGGTGATAGGGCTCTCGTTGGAGTTCCACAAAGTGAGAGCAGATAGGCTGAAAGCCTGACTGCTGATGGTAGGATAGGCAGGGGACCTGAAGCAGGCCAGTGGAGTAAGGAGAAAATTAGGGAAAAGGTTTTCCCTCTTTTTTTAAAAAAATGCATTTTTTGTGTTTGTCTTTCTAGGTAAACATCCAAGGTGGTGCTATTGCTTTAGGTCACCCTCTGGGAATGTCTGGGTGCCGCATTCTGGTTACACTTCTCTACGCACTGGAGAGAACAGGAAAAAAGCGTGGCATTGCTTCTTTGTGTATAGGAGGTGGAATGGGAATAGCTATGTGTGTTGAAAGGCAATAAATTACACCTAAATTTTACTACAAGAACTGAAGATACTCTGCAGCTAAGCTAGTGACTGGATAAAATTGAGCTTTTATTTTAGGTTACAGCCTGATTCCAATGAAATGTAGGTGCATTTTGTTTTTATAATGAATGTGTAAAGTAGGTAGGTTTTAAAACTATTCAAAACTTCAGTCCACATAAAATGGTTCTGAAAATTAGTGTAACTTTTAAATATTTGATTAAAAGTACTGAAGTTTGAAATCATAGTATATTCTTATGGAATCCAACTTTTATTATAACTCCTTCCTATTATCTCTCAACTCAGATTGACCATTTTTTCTTTATGAAATAAATTGCTCAATGTACCATTGCTGAATCTTGTAAACTGACTCTCAAATTACATCAAGTGCCAGTATTTATAGAAGGGCAAGATGGTTGAATACATGTGAGAAAGCAGGGGAACATTCATTGTATTTTAATTTTGCTTTAATTGATTTACAAATGCTGCCCTAATACTTTTGAGCGTTTTATCATTCCCCATGGTAAGATCAGCAACCAAGAATCAGAGAGGTTACTTATTTGGGGAGATAATAATCATCCTTGTATTTGATATAGTGCCTTATTACATCCTTCCCCAGTAGTATTTTTAATTAATGTTTTCCCCAGTGAATTTGTGTGAGGGAGAAATCATGTCCACAATGAAATAACATACACAATTAATTAGATTTGAAAAGACCAGAAGCACAACATCAACGTTTATTCATGAAATTAAGGTCCCTACATAGATGGGCTGATCACTTGACAACTGTCACATTTTATTTCCGAAGGAGCTTGAAGCACAACTGTCAATGTACAGGAAATAATTTTGCACAAATAACTTGAAAGAGTTGACTATAGGTAACAAAGTAAGAGGTCTTTTAAATCCGGTTTGGCCAAATAGCACTAAAAAAAAAGATCGAGATATAGTATAAATAAAAAAAAAAAAAATACTGTATATGTGAACAAAGCACAATAAAACAAAAAAGCATAGTAAATTAAACAGAGCACTAAACAAGTGGCACTGAATTTCAGACAAGTATGACAAGCTGCTCAATCTAGAACAGAAGTACAAGAAGCACCTGATGGATGCCAAGAGTTAAACATAAATTATAATAGCTGATTTTAGAACTCAGGTGCTTCAGCCATTAAGCTCTCCACTTTGAACTGCATCTTGGTAACTCCTTTGTCTTGCTTTTCATCTGGGTAAAGTTTGATGAGATCATCAATTCGCAGGATGGTTATAGCAGCTTCTGTTGCAAACTTCAGACTCTTGACTTTAACCATAGTAGGCTCAAAGACACCAGCTTGTTTGTTGTCCCTTGGCTTCCTATTCAATAAATCAAGACCAATCCTGCACAAACAAAATGTGAATTTGATTAACACTGTTTTAATAGCCAGTCACTACAATATTGTAAAACATTCATAATTTCCGATTGAATTCTGACAACTCAGCCATAAAAGTTACTTTAACAAGATGGAGAAAATCAATTTTGCACTTTACTGCTATCTGGGGCACCAGGTCACCAAAAATCAATGATTGCTCATGAATTGCAACAATGTTCAAATTTAGTTTCATCGCTGATTCAGACAACAATGGGTCTCAAGTCACAATCTTTTGCAGACCACAGTACAATAAAATTTTTACCATTTCAAAGTTTTGCGATCAGGATTGACCTGAGCTTCGTTGTGGAATGCACGCAACTTTGCAACAAGGTCTGGAGAATCCTGAGCAGCATTCACTGCCAGAGTCTTAGGAATAATCAACATGGCCCGGGCAAATTCTGCAATGGCAAGTTGTTCACGTGATCCCTAAACAAAAAGACAACCAACAGTTAAATACATGAAGTACTTTTAACTTATTTTCCTAAAATAATTTTTAATACTGCAAATTAATATGGACAGTAATCCCTGGTTAATCAGCTCAAAGCGTACGGTAAAAGTGCCCTCCCCCAATAATCTTGAAATACAATTAAACCCATACCAAACTAGTTGCATAGTTTTCCAGGTAGATGGAGAGTGCAGCTTCCACAGCCCCACCTCCTGGAACTAAAGACTTGGACTCAAGCACTCTCTTCACAACACAGAGTGCATCATGTAGGGAGCGCTCCATCTCATCACACATGAAATCATTTGCTCCTCGCAGAATGATTGATGCAGAAGTACGGGCCTTTGTACTGAAAAATACAAATTAAACTTTACAACAATAGTACTTGTGAGGGTTGGGTTAAACTCATTTTAAAATGTCAGCATCAATTTATACCTCACTTTTAGAAATCAGAATCTAGATCCCTTTTTCAATCACAAACTTTGTGTGCACTGCTCCTGAATGAACAATACCTATTGCTTATATACTGTTATGCAAAACAATATTCATTGCCGACTTAAACCAGGAATAGATGTGACAGTTCTACTTTCATCAGGAAACTGCTTGGATTATATTTATATGCACAACAAATTTAATCTGCATCTGTGCAGTCAATATAAAAAAAAATTCAACACAATTACAATCCCTGCCCGGCAGGGGCCTGCCCTGATCATCATCATCATCATCATCATCATCTTCCTGTCCACATCTCGGTCACGCATCCCTTCCCGCAGTGATGGTCCCAGCAGCTGGAGGGAGGTGAGGCCAGTCACAGGTTGTTTGCCTGACCCCCTCAGTGCTGAGCCCTGTGGCTGCTCAGGTGGCTGTCAGGCAGTGGCAGTGCGCAGGCGCCGCTCTTTGTTGCCCTTTGTCCGCCAGGTGAGCCTCGCGGCCAACCTAACTCGCTCGCTAAAACCCGCCGCTCAACCAAACCCGTGGCGCGGGAAGTCCCGCCCCAGGCGCCGCACCCGATTGGCGAGCAGGCCAGTCGCCCTCAGCCGATTGGTTCGACTTGCGTGTCGCTCAGGCGCGGTGGGCCCGCCCCCTGCTCCTCCCGGAGAGCGACACATATGTCCGGGGGGCTGTGGCTGTGGCTGAGGCAGCGGCGGCCGCCGGGTTATCCCTCAAAAAGGAGGAGGAAAAAAAAAAACCCGACCCGCGGCACCGGGAAGCGATGGTCCCGGTCACGGCCGAGTTAGGCCCCTGATCCCACCGCGTTTCGTCCCTCACCGGCTCCCGGGGGAGGCGGCGGCGGCGGCTCCAGGTTTCCCGGGTAACAGCAGCTTCCACGTTGCCCGGTGACCGCCGAGTCCAGGGGTCCACAGCCATGGCTCCGGGCCTGAGGTTCGGGGCGGCTTTCTCGCTGCTCGTGGTCCTGGCGGCTTACTGGTACCGGCAGCAGGTGCAGGACGAGCTGGATGGGCGGCTGGAGACCGTCTTGTCATCGCTGCTCAAAGCCGAGAGCAAAGTGGATCTGGAGCAGCGGCCCCGAGTCGCAGTCGGTGAGCATCGGGGCAGATGGGGGGGGAGATGCGGGGATGGGGCGAGACGTTTGGGGCGGAGCAAGATGTGGGTTGGGGCGGGACGGGGAGGGGGGGGCCCGGGGCCGGGGGGGGACTCGGGGCCGGGGGGAGACTCGGGGTGGGGGGAGACTCGGGGCCGGGGTGGGGGACTCGGGGCCGGGGGGAGACTCGGGGTGGGGGAGACTCGGGCCGGGGTGGGGGACTCGGGGCCGGGGGGGGAGACTCGGGGCCGGGGTGGGGGACTCGGGGCCGGGGTGGGGGACTCGGGGCCGGGGGGGGGGGGACTCGGGGCTGGGGGGGGACTCGGGGTGGGGGGAGACTCAGGGCCGGGGGGGGGGGGGGGGGAGACTCGGGGTGGGGGAGACTCGGGGTGGGGGGGGGGGTGTCGACGTGGATGGTGACGAGTGAGTAGCTTTATGCGTGTGGGGGGGGTGGGGTGGGTTTGTGCGAGTGGGGGAGGACGTCTCAAAGCACTTCAGAGAATATACTGTAAAGTGAATTGACTGTATATTTGTGGGCAAAACGCGGCAGCCAATTGCGCACAGCAGTGTCCCCACAAACAGTCGTGGATTGAGTGACCAAATTATTATTGCTTTGAAGGAATTGTTACCTGAAAAGCGATCCGCCCATCGACTAACAACCGGGTTCCTACTTACCGCTGGTAAACAGAGACACAACAACAACAACAACAACAAGATTCCATTTATAGAGCGCCTTTCACGTCGGGAGGACGTCCCAAGGCGCTGTGGAGTAAGGAAACTTGCCCAACATTTCGCCCTGCCGGGAATCGAACCCGGGTCCCTCGCTTGCGAGCGAGTGCTCTAACCACTGGGCCACAGGACTCCACTGTTTTGTGAGAAAGGGGGGATTTATAAGCTCTTAAGAAAAGAAACGGTTGTGAGTTATGAATATAATTGCCATTGAAGGTTATCACTTTGGTCCCCTGATGTTCGAGCAAGCCCGTTCAGTGAGTAGCTGGATCCATACAGACTTGGAATGATTTAGGTGGGTTCTCCAGTCTGTGCTGAGTTAGCTGATCTCAGGCAGGGCACGGGTAGAGCTGTTACAATTGGTTGCCGGCAGCGGGGTTAGGGAAGAAGAAAAACAGCGCGATTCCTACTTTTGATAACCAGCAAAGTGACCTCCTGCTGTTATGCACATGTGTAGACTACTCCAGGCTGTGATGCTTACCCACCTCTAGAATTCTCCCCCACCCTCCCCACACACACACACACACACACACACACACACAGAGTGTTATGACTCACTCGAAAATGAATGCATGAAGAATAGCAGCTTTGGTGAGGTGTTGGAATTATGCAGGATTAAAAGGAAAAAGGAGTCCACAGTCTTTCCGAAAGGGAAATTTCGGCTACATTGTTACTTATCTTAAAGGGGAGGTCTTTTAGATCCCAATCCAAACTTGATTCCCCATTCGTAAGATAATAATGATGATGAGCTATACATTTAGTAATATGTCTTTTACGTTGGGATCTCCTTGAACTGGCTCCAAGGTGACATGTTTTGCAAAGGAATGTCAGAATCGAGCCAATACTCAGTGACGATCTCGGTAATCCAGTTCCTGAGCTAAGTGGGTCCGCACTATTCCAGAGCACTGCTGATGACAGCACAGCCTCATTGGTAGGATTTGGAAGGCCAGACCAGTCACAGGGGGCAGGGACTTTTCCCACTCGGCTCCCGTTGACCTTGCAAGCCAAAGCCCTAATGGGTAGCGTGGTTCTAGCTGGACAAGCAGCGGGAAACCTTGCTGGGCACTGCACTCAATGGCAAGCTATACCCTGTGAAACGCTTTGAGATGTCTTGAAGATATGATAAAGCGCTATGTCAAATGCAAGGATTATTATGCGGTTTTAATTGGTTAGACACCAGCAGTACCCCAATGAACACTCTGGGGACCCCAAGCCTTGGCTGTTGCTAACCTGGAGCCAATACTTTCTGGAATTAGGTAAGCAGAATGTGTCCCTCCAGGGAGAGAGTGATTATTCCGACAATCTATCTGGAATTTCCATTTATTGGTGGGATGCACGGAGCTCTGTTTAATTTGGATACACTTAAGTATGAGGATAGATTTCCGCAAGTGTCAGACACGAGGTTAACGATGTCTTAAAGTCCTTCACAAGTGATTGTTTTGTGGGCGAATGTGGTAGCCACAGGAATGAGTGATCTGTATTCACAGCATTGCGCACAGCAATAACCCACAAGCCACGGTGTGAGTAACCAATTTTATTAGGGGATTGTTGTTCAGGATACTAGGAGAAATTTCCGTAAAATTGTTTCGCTTCCTTTCCTGGTCTTTGTTTTATAGATGTAAATTTTAATTCAAAGAGTTGGTTGGAAGAAATGTAAGCAAATTAGTGGTAGCAACCACCTGCGTTTTGAATAGTTATCTCTAGCTTTGAGAGAAGGGCATACTGTAGTTGAAATATAGTTCACAGAATTGCATGCAAGTTAATCAAATATGTTTATTCCAGCAATATCTAACCTCTTATTTTTTGTTCCTCAAACCCACCTATATTCATAATAATTACACATTGCAGGATTTGGTGGCTGCCTCGACATTGTTGCAGATGGAGTTGCTTTGTTAAACAAAGCTGGCGTCAGACCCAGTAACAAACCCATCCACCACAATGACATTAAGACAGAGGAACATCTGGCTGAAAGCTTTGCATACTTCTTTCGTCCTGGAGCTGCATCAGAGTAAGGAAATGATGTGAATTGAGTGAACTCGTTAAAACTATACCTTGGCTTGGACAGAGATGTATATTTTAGTTTGATTATTTTTTAAAGTATTTTGATAATTGGGAGTCATAATTCATAAAGATAGTGTGTGCCCTGAGGTATTCCATTTTGTTGGAATAGTAATGAGGCTCAATGGAGCTGCAATAACTTCTAAGTACAGTGTTAGATTAAACAGTTGCATTAGGTTTAGAAATCACCTACTCCTATAATTGTAAAGGAGACTAATTTGTTTGTTTTATTTAGATATCATTTTTAATATACATTAGTTCATTTTGAAATGTTAGATTTAAAATCACGGTAAGGGTAGTTAAGCCATACTGTCCAATCTGATTTGATCCATGATCTCTGAGTTATCTGACCTCCCATTGGAATGCAATACTATAGTATTAACTAACTCACTAAAATAAGTTTAAAGCACAATTTAAAATGGAACATTTGAAAACTACTTGTATGCATGGCTTCTCTGAGTGAGGTTGCCTCAATGTGTGGAATTGTTCGCCCACAAAATACACACAGTCACGCGACTTTCATTGTATCCTGTGAAAATGATGTGATAAGATGCTATATCAGTTGTAGTTATTATTATTGTGGTGGTTTTGCTCTGTGACTTTCAATATGGAGTGAATTGAAATCTACCTCTCTTGTAATGAAAGAGCACTTTAGTTCCCTTTAATCAGGTTTAACAAAATGTTAATGAGTTCCTTAACATTAGACACAGATATCTATTTGAGGATTGATCTGAATAAATACAGCTACATGTGTGTCATTGTGACTCTTTAATTAAAAAAACAAATAGATACAAAGATTTAACCTTTTTTTATTTGTATTTTATTTATTATAATGAGATGATCTGGATTGGATGAGTTGTTCAGAATGTTGGTGTGAAGGAATTGAATTTCTGTATAGAGTTGTATTAGCATCCACTCTGGTCTAATATCTGTGTTTCTACTAATATGAATTCAATCTGTTACTGCTAGACATAGGAGTCTTGCCAGATACTGTATTAAAGTTTCAGTGACCACGCAGAAAAGATTACACATTGCAGTTTTCAGTTTCCTCTTTCTGGGGAAAAGCAGTCATTGTGTAATCGAATAGTATCCTCTCAGCTTTCCATGTATTCTGACTGAGCTCAGTGGGTGTCAAGTTAGCAAACATTTTTTACATTCAATAATACTGCAAATGAAAAGCCTTGTATAGTTATTGTATGCGTGTATTACTGAGTCATTTTACCACTGTTCAAATCCTGTGAGTTATGATTAATGACCAAATTGATATGCTTGTTTTCAGACGTTTTGTTTCAAACATCACGCTATTTCGTCAGTTGGTGAAAGCCACACAAAGTCTTCCGCGAGTGCGATGGTCACTGGGTGGAAATGCGCCAGTCATGGCAAATCGCCTTGCAATAGAAGGCTGTGAGGTGCTCATGGGGAGCCGTCTAACCTCTGACCTTGTTGACGTCCTTCAGGAACATGTGACTGGTTTGTACAAAGAAAACCATGTTTGACTTGTACTTGTCAAGCACTGACACGTTTTCCTTCGATTCACGACACATTATGTTTATGTGCCTTTTCTGTTTGAAAAAAATGCCATCTTTGGAACCTGAATATTTACTATCAGTGTATACCATGGTTGGATTGGGGGTGACGGGAAGCTTGAAATAGCTGAGATATTGAACATATAAACAGCATTGATCAATACCAGACAATGCCTCCAGTGAATGCACAGTTCCCAATATTGAGTGTACTGTCGAGAGCAGATGTAGTGCAGAGCAGGAGAGGAGGCACTTCTACTTAGCAAGGGAGAGAAATTGGAGAGTGAGCCGCTCTTGTACATCTCCGAGTAGAAACAGGATTGTCACGTACAGTTCTTTGGAGCAGGGTGGTTGTTTACCTCATCAAGCAGAAAATAGAGAAAATAAAATGCTGAGCTTGACAATATTAATAATCTTAATAAAACTATAAGCATTTTTGAAATTTTTTATTGTTTAGATTTGTATTCAAGGCAACAATTGAGCAAAAATAGTTTCATGTGATAAAGCATATACCTTTCACAATCCTGACCAGAAGCTTATTTTAAATCTTTTTCCCCTCTTTTAGTTACGAGCAAGGCAGTAGATGAGATGGATATTCACTTGATTCTAGAATATTCAAGTGGGTCCAAATGGGGTGAGCTGATGTCTCAAAGAGCCAACAGGTTTGTAATGCAAAAGACATTCCAAATATGAAAATTGAATGTAAATCGGAGGCAGATTCTGTACATTACAACTTAACAGATCTGTCGTTCAAAAGCAGCAAAGGCGTAGCTGAATGAAATTACAGATGGTTATGTTTGGTCAGCCAGGAGTTTGATGTATGCAGTAACATATGCTTAAGAGTATCCAAACCAGACACTTTTTCATATATGTATGCCACCTGGTGGGACACATCCTACTTACCTAATTCTGGAGAGTATTGGCTGAAGCTTGTGGACCCTCAAGAGTGTGTTGAGATACTGCTGCAGTTCAACCAGCTAAAACTGCATAGCTTTGGCTCAGGATGCGCACCACTGAGATTGCCACAAAGGATTGCCTTTTCTGATATTCACTTGCCAGTTCAGTTCCAAGGAGACCATGATTATCTCCCTATCCCCCTCCCTCAGCAGGATGATAATAACAATATTGCATTTGATATAGCGCCTTATCATGTCTTTGAGGCGTCTTAAAGCGGTTCACAGAATATACTGTAAAGTGAATTGACTGTATATTTTGTGGCCAAAATGCGGCAGCCTATTGCGCACAGCAGTGTCCCACAAACAGTCGTGGATTGAGTGACCAATTATTAGGTTTTTTTAAAGGAATTATTAACCCTGGAAAAGCGAGCCGCCAATTGACTAACAACTTACTGCTAGGTAAACAGAGGCATGTGGGGTAAGAAAACTTACACAACATTTTGCCCCGCCGGGAATCAAATCCAGGTCTCTTGCTTGCGAGGCGAGTGCTCTAACCGCTGAGCTACAGGATTGTTAGTGCTTGTTACTATTTATGCCAGTTATATACTTAAACATTTTTGTATTCAGTAAAATTATTATATCAGTATGCCATCCAAATATATCCTTTATTTGAATTCTGCAACATGAGTGGTGCGTGTATGAATTCCTTCAGAACAATGAAAGGACCAGACATCCAGAATATCTAATAAAAGGAGCCCTAAAGCCTTGAAATTAAACACCATGCAAAACGTTATAACATATGCAGATTTAATCTTAATTTGGAAGCCAGTTTTCTACAATTTTCTTTACGAAAGACTACAGATAAACGGCTTCCAAATTAAGCCTGAATTAACATTATTCCAAAATGTTGTTAGTTGGCTCTGGTTGGATAGCTATCCGATGTGTGAGTTTCAGCTACTGCCTTTCAGTTCTGTAGAGTGTGGCAGCAAAGGATGACAGATGACAATTAATTCAAGTAGCAAATTGTTTCTTGAGTTGAACCAATGTTTTATTAGAGTTGTGGTGTAGTGTTGGTATTGTGCTTCTACGTGCATTCATTTTAGATGTGCTTGACCAATTAATTTCTGAAAATAATTGTTGGTTTCCATAGATTCATACTCCACAGTGACTCCTCCAACCCTATGTTAGAATCACTGGAGGACTTTGAGGCACAGCTCCTTGAATTTAACCCAGCGCTTCTAGTAGTTAGTGGCCTTCAGATGATGGACAATTTTCCCTTTAAACAAGGTGAGTGCAAAATACAGCTCTGTGTTCAAGTCTTAATCTTAATTTAAGACTAAATGATCTCACAATTATCTATATGATCACAGTACTTATCAAGAATCAATTTGTCCTCTGGCTTTTGGGTTAGGGAAGAGTATCTGGCCAAAATGGTCTGGGGATATTGTGAATCCCTTAAAGGCGTGGGAACATAGTTTTCTAAATTGACTTCCTCTCATATTGGATGTTTATTAGTCCATGGAAATTGAACTTCATACAAAGAATGAGGAAATCCTTGTGTTTGGTAGTAAATGGGGAGAAACCATGGCTGTGGATTCAGAGTCTGATTTTTCTGATCTTGGCAGAGCTCTCATAGGCTGCTGTCTTGGGTTGGAGAACCCAAGTCAAGCTTTTACATGCTGCGCTAGAGCAATGTAAGCAGGGTATAGCTCTCAACCACAGCATTGGTTGGAGAAGGCTGGGAGAAACAATGTATTTTGGAAAAAAACAACAATATTGATACTTTAGATACGGAGTCCTGTAGCTCAGTGGTTAGAGCATTCGCTTTGCAAGCGAGAGACCTGAGTTCAATTCCAGGCAGGGCGAAACCTTGGGCAAGTTTCCTTACTCCACACGCCTAATAATAATCCCTCCAAAACCAAAAACAATAATAAATTGGTCATTTTCAATCTATGACTGTTTGTGGGACATTGCTGTTGCCAATTGGCTGCCGCGTTCGCCCACAAATATACAATCAATTCACTTTACAGTGTGTTCTGTGAAGCGCTTTGGGACGTCCTCCCGACGTGAAAAGTGCTATATCAAATGCAAGGATTATTATTATTTAGCAGTGTGTTGTAACTGTCTTATGCAGAAAGAAAGTCCATACAAGGAACATCTATCATTGGATCCTTTTCTTATGACAATAGCATTTACTTTTCAGGATTTCCACCTGGGCCCCAACAGTGGTGTTCTGAGTCATTATCTTTCTCTCACCTCTTCCTCTAGGGAAGTGAAATTCCTCCGCCTTGTTTCTTCCCCCTGCCTTTTCAAAATTCATCTTTTTGACTACGCCTTTTGCCTCTGCGTCATTCCAAGCTCAGGTTTCCTCTCAGTCTTTGCAAAGTGTTTTGAGATGTTCTCCTATTTGAAAGGTGCTGTGTAGATGTAAATTGTTATTGTGATTGCAACCTGTTCATTTTTACATGTATATTTAACCCCGGAGAGTAAATCTTCAAACAATTTATTGTTATGGTTTCTGAAGATGCAATTGTGATAATTACAGACTGAGACTGTACTTACTGAACATGTGGTGAAATTGCAAGATCAGATTGTACTACTAAACCTGTCCAGTTCATTTTAAAGTAAGGAGTGCATGAATTCATTTGCACGTGGTGGCTTTACACTGGGTTTTAAACGATACTTAGGTTTTCAAAATTCCACATTATTTTTATTGTCCCTGTCAAGGATTTGTTTTAGTTCCAAACAAGAGAAGTGAATGGCTCCCAGCACTGTAGTATTTTCACACTAAATGTTAACAAGTTGCATATTGGTTCAGAGTTCGATCTCAGTAGATTGCTGAAATATAGATTTTCCTGTAACTTTTCCCCTATACTTAGTTCTTGCAGATGGCATTTGCAGCTCTCTGCATATCTGGACGGAAGGAGAAAAACTTAAAAGTAGAGTTCTGGAGCCTAGAAATATGCTGGCTGCTACTGTGCTGCACAGGGAATGTACATGGGAAGAGTGTTTGAGTGGATGATCTAAGCTTTTTGTATGTCTAAGTGGAACGGTACCATCACAAGATAGGAAGTCTGCCTACATTGTACATGCCATTCCAGAACAGGCCTGCGTTCAATAGATGCTGACTTGAGTCCTACTTGTAGAAAATCCAACCGAGTAGTTTGTAATACTGGATTCACTTTCTTGTAAACAAAAACATAAGTCGTTGGGAACACTCAGCGGGTCAGGCAGCATCTATGGAGTCAATGTTTCGGGTCCACGATCCTTTATCAGAACTGGACAAGGTTCTGACGAAGTTCTGACGAAGGGTCATGGGACCGAAACGTTGACTCACTTTCCTTTGTCCATAGATGCTGCCTGACCTGCTGAGTGTTTGTTCCCAGCGACTTATGTTTTTGATTTCAGATTTCCAGCATCTGCAATATTTTGTGCTTTCTTCACTTCCTTGTGATGTTGGTTGTTGGTGGGCTGTGTTTAACGCTTTTTTCAAAGTACCAGACCGTGACAGGAGTGAGTGATTTTGGTGGGACCAACTGCGCTGTTGGGCTGGAAAATGCAGAGAACCAAAGTGCCACCTTGTTCAAAAAAAGCAAAGTGCCTATAATTTACTGTCTGTATTGGTTATTTGAGTCTGACTTGTGTTGACAACTTCTATGAAACTATGTGAAACATTGTAAGGTGCCTAAATGCTTGGAAAGGGAGATGTGGTGAAGACTGTCTAATGACTAACTGAGGCAATAGAGCCCCACTTTTAATTATCCTAATCCTTGACTGGTGACATCTTTAGCATTTGATTGCATGTGGAAAGAAAACAGCTTGCACAAATTGCATCTTTCAGCATGTGTTAAGGGATCTTAAATACCACACAGCAATATAGTGCGTAGATGTAAATGAACCTTCATTGCTATTTGCGGGGCATTGCTCCGTACAAGTTAGCTGCTATATTCACCCACAAAACGCGCAATCCAGAACTACATGTAGTACTTCAGCATGATCAGCATATTTTGGAGTTTGAACAGTGTGGCCTTAGCATTTAGCTAAACTAAACTGCATTTGATCCCAGAACAATTTACTATATTTTTTCACCTGATTGTCTTGAATTCTTTTGGTGTCAGGTCAATCTGAAGAGAGGCTAAAAGCGCTCCAGAGCCTCATGCTCTCTGTCGACAGAACAACTGGAATCCACTTTGAAATGGCATCATTTGTCAATGAGGACCTTCTGAAGAGCCTCTTTACTTACATTGTTCCTTATGCCGACTCTCTGGGAATGAATGAACAGGAACTCCCCAATCTTCTCAGCATGGTAAAGGGGGGTAACATCACTCTGCTGTCAGATCCATACCCAAGGGTGGCATGTGTACTTGACCAAATGCGTGAGCTCTATCACATCTTGAACTCTCAGGAAGTAACTTTTGGTCAGCGCAAGCTGACTCGGCTCCACGTCCACACTCTTGCATTCCAAGCCATCATTGTTGCCAAAGGGTCTGCTTGGAAGAACACTATGTCAGCGACTGCCAAGGCTTCCCTTACTGCAAACCGCCACGTGTGTGGCTCTCCACACATTGACACCAGCAAAGCCAAGCTGATCATGGATGATTCTTTTTCTGTGAGCAGGGAGTTGGGGAGTAAGAAAATTCCACTGCAGGAGAACCGACCCGTTTCGTGCTGGGAGGAGAATGACTATGAGATCTGCGTGGCCCCGGTGCTGGTGTGTACTGAGGTTTACCAGACCGTGGGTGGAGGCGATAACATTTCTGCAGCCAGTCTCGTTCTTCAAATCTGATGATTTCTCTACTCACATGTGGTGGTGGTGGAGGGAGGGGCTAAATAGTTGCTCTCTTTTTAACCCTTCAAATTGTTTGGAAGCATTACTATCTAAATTGTAGAAATAAAAGTTAAATTAAACTGGTGTTTTCCTCCCAACCCTGCCAAATTCTCATTGAAAATCTCCACTTTAAAAAAAAACAAGTTTTATGTATTTCCTTTGGAATCCTTGTAGTACGTAAGAATTGACTTCTGTGTTTTACATTTTATTGAAGAAATTGTGATTAAATATATTCACTTTTCAGATTTTTTTGAAAGGCCTCGGATGTCTGAATTTTGGGTTGTAATCTATTTTTTGTCTGATTTGTCACACTCCAGTTTGGCTGAATGTAGAAAGATGAGTAACTAGAGTAACTGTTAACCTTTGAAGGATTATTTTATAAATGTGCTGAACCTAAGCAGTCACTGCACAGTATCATGATCGACCTTGGGAGAAGCTACAATTTAGAATGCATTTTGTCTTTTAGTCAATAACTAAAATTTCTTGTGGCTCCCAAAGCCGTTGATTTTAAACTGAGCTGATCTAGGGTATCTCTGCTCTTGGGTACAAATAGAATTACACTAACTTTAGTTCCAGTCAGGCTGTTTATGGATTGAGTTTGTTTTGTTTTTATAACCTGTTTTTCCTCCTTAAATACCTTATTTGTACTCTTACTCCTGCCCACTTATTACATGGTACTGTTCTGAATAATGATTCCTTTCAAAATGGACTCTCTCGCCACTTGTTCCTTTTTTATTTTAGAGGTTGTTCTCCCCCTCCTCCACCCCCCCCCCCCCCCCCCCCACCTACTCACTCTTCTCTGGTTTTCTATAGGGGATGGCTGTACCAGGACACCGTTTCCATGAGCATCCACAGCTTTCTGATGCCTCATCTAATTGGGGATTCATAATGTGTGCGTCTATTTGACAATCAAGGAAATTGCACTTGATTCTCCCCTCCCCCAGTGTCCAAATGCAAACAGATGTGTGCGCGTATATATATATATAAAATATATATGTTCAGAGCAGGACTCCTGGCTTTGATTTCCTCTTTTTCTCCCACTACCCCTCCTCCCAAGTGTCACCTTTCCTCTCATTAGCTCGGATTGCAGTACTTTCACTGCAGCCTCGGCTGTGATCGCAAACTCGATCCAGATCTGGGATCAAATGTGGAATCTTAGTATGACTCCATTTAATGTAATTTCCCTTCAAGTCAAATGAGCTCCTTAGAATCAGTCAAGAATGCTGATCTTGAGCTGCTGTGATATACTCTGTAAAGCATTTTGAGAGGTCCCGAAGACATATCCTTACTCCACGCGCCTAATGATAATCCCTCCCAAAAAACAAAACAGTAATAAATTGGTCATTTTCAATCTACGACTGTTTGTGGGACATTGCTGTGCGCAATTGGCTGCCGCGTTCGCCCAGATATACAGTCGATTCACTTTACAGTGTGTTCTGTGAAGCGCTTTGGGACGTCCTCCGTGAAAAGGACGTGAAAAGCGCTATATCAAATGCAAGGATTATTATTATATCAGATGCAAGGATATTATTGTCAGTGTGTTGCATTCCATTTAAAGTTCATGTCAGTTAATGCCTAAACCTGCTATTCCTGTATTACAACCTACATGCTAAGATTAAAGGTATATTTCATCAAGTTAACTGGTCACAGTAATGTGAATCTGTGGAATCCGGAGGATGGGAAATGCAAAAACAAAATAGAATTGATAAGTTCACAAGGTCTTATAGTGATTTGTTAGAAAATAGATATTTATCCTGATTTAGAGTGAAAAATGTATGAGGAATATTATGAGGATAAAAGGAACAGGTAAGAAAAAACATGGGAACAGGATGAGGCCATTCAGTACAAATTTGATCTGCCAGTTTATTATTGCTTGGTACTAGATATTTTTCATCTTTTTTTCTATGGCACTAATACCCTTAAATACATAAATTACAAGTAAAATCTGCAACACCGTCTTTTATTACCTTAACAAAGTTTAGTTACGTTGCTTTGTTAGTGAAAAAACATGAGGTAGAGTGAAAGTTAGCACACATCAGCTCAGTATATTAATCTGTGTTTTTAAAAAAAAGCTTCAGAATTTTTAATTAGAAGTGGTCATTTTCTCATGTTACTAGGCATCAAAATGTTTTTTGCTACCTGAGAAATAATACACAGGAAGAAGCAGAAATCTTGTATTTGATGCATTTCTTCTTTTAAAATTGCCATTGTGGGATTTTTTTTCTCTTTGATTCCTCAAATTACAACTTCGACTCAGGATAGCATCTCAGAGTGCTTAACATTGGCGGAGTCTGACTCCGAGCTGGGAAAGGTTTTCAGGAGAGACTTGAAAAAGGGGAGAGAGGGGGCAAGGCGGAGGGATAGTGTTCCAGAGTCTCAAGGTATAGTGGCTGAAAGCGCGACCTCCGATGGTGAGGTGGAGCCAGTCGAGTGGAAGAGCTGGGTGATGGATTGGGGAGTGAGGAGGTCGGAGAGTTAGGGAGGTGGCAGAGAGTGAAGGGATTTGAACACGTGTGTGAGGATCTTGGAAGTCGATCCATTCGGTGATGGAGCCTGGGCAGAACTGGTGAGATGTGGGTACGGAGTTTGGTCCAGGTCAGTATGTGGGCAGCAGAGTTCTGAATGAGCTGGATCTTGTGAATGGTGGAACTGGAGGTGACCGGCGAAGAGTTCGTTGGAGTAATCCAAGCACGGGAGGTGACAAACGCATGCACGAGGGTTTCAGCTGCATTTGGGGTAAGGTACAATCGGAGGTGGGCAATGTGGTGGAGTTGGAAGAAGGCGGTCCTGATCAGGAATTGGATGTGAGGGAGGAAGGACAACTCGGGGTCAAACCAGATGCCAAGGTTATGGTCTGGCCGGTGAGTCTGAGGGAGAGCCCAGGACGGTTGAGAAGTTCAGATCCGCAGGAATGAAGACATTAATGGGACCCAAGGTGTATGGCTTCCGTCTTGTCCACCTTCAGCTGCAGAAAGTTTACACTCATTCAGGCCCTGATGTCTGCCAGACAAGCTGATAGAACATCGGTGGACCTGGAGTCGATGGTGGAGGAGGCAAAGTAGATTTGTGTGTCATTCACGTACATGTGGAAATTTACCCTGTGTCTGCGAATGACATCACCCAGAGGGAACTTATAGATAAGGAAAAGAAGAGGGCCAAGGATGAAACGATGCAGCCAAGTGGATGTTTTCAAAAGCAATTTTCAAATCAGTTTTTAAAAATACAATCATTTATTTACACTCATTGAAACAAATTCAGGCATGTTGTCCAGGAACAGCAAAGCTTCCCGATTCTGGCGTCCGAGCTTTCAGTCAAGCTTCTCCAGGTAGTCCTCAACTCGGGTTTGTCGTGCACACCACCTTGTTGCTGTTGTAGTCTATTCCCTTAAGAAAACGTAAAATACATCCCTCCCCCCAAATTATGCAGGAATCTTTTTCAGTACCAAAACCTCAAGGAAAAAAATGATTTTTTTTGGACTAATTTCATTCAGCACGTTATATCACTGTTAAAAGTTGGCTGGAAGACACATTTGAGCTAGGACTATAAGCCACAAGATTTTTGAATTGGACAAAAACATTCTCTTGCTTTACTTTATTTTGTTCCGACGTTTTTGTGAATCTTGTCTCCTACCAAGTTTGAAGGACAGCTTGTTATGCCTATTCTTTTGTTTTTTGCAGTGCACAGCACTGAGCTCTTTGTGAGCTACCCTCTCCTCTGCTGAAAATGGTTCATTTAAAAAAATGATGCACTTTTTAAGGAGAGTACAATAATAATACATTTTAAAGTCTAAATTTCTCCCAGAGCAACAATGTAATCTATAAACCCGCTCTTGCCCCTTTCTTTTTTAAAAGACAGGAAATTGAGCAAATTACCTCAATAGCTTATTTGGAAAGCTCTGAACAACATTGTGAAGTGCAATAATCTTAATTTATCCAAGACCAGCTTACAGAGTTTCGTATGTAGTTTAATGTTACACCATCTTGATTACGACATCAATGGACGAATTGAGGGGCACAGCTCCACAGGGTCTCATTTCATGCCTGGTGATGCTGTATGAACTTTTACTTCAAGGTGCTTGTTCCTCCTATCGGAATAAACTCGGAGATGCTTTTGAGCTCTGGACTCTGTCCAAAACACTTTATTTCGTTCAGTGAAGGCGTGCTTTGATCTTGATTCCATTTGGTCACAAATTTTGCTGTGCACCAGTGTGTGGACTCACCCTCTTGAGGTTGTGAAAGCCGTAGGCAGGAGATAAGATACAGGGTACTTGTCTTTTTATGGTACACAAAACCGTCTAGAATTAACTGCATATTGGAAGGTACTTGTGTCCAATAAAATGTTTAACATTTCAGTTGCTTATGAATTGTTTCCAATTTTCAAATTTCACTCCACATCTCATTTAAAAATGTTGTTTGTATCTAAAATGTGGGTGTTGAATTGTCTAACCATGATCAAAAGCATATAATATCCTTAACATGTGATTAAAAAAATCAAAGTCTTACAGTATCACCAATAATTAAGGGCACTTATATGACTTGATCACGGTCAGCCCATTCCCAACCCGCAATTTACAACCATTTTATTTAAGCCAACAGAAATGCAACAAAAATGTAGAGATCAAAAAGGAAGTGTAAATCAGAAAAAAGGTAGTCGTTTCTGACCCAAACTTTTATTAAATTCACAGGTGATGATGAAGCATTTAAAAAGTTTTTCAAACTGACATGAGATGTGAGAAAAACAAGTTAATTATGTTGAAATATTTGCATCGCGAATGCAGAAACCCAATTAAAGATCAACATTACTCATTACTTATGTGTCAGTTTTAAACCGTTTTGCCTGAAATGCGTACTACATCTCTGGGGGAGTTGACAGAAAAAGAAATTTACCAGAAATTCTGGATAATTGAGATTACTTGGAAGGTTTCTTTGTTATGATAAAAATGGAATTTGCACTAAACAGGAGAATAACATCCAAACCCTTCAAAAAGGGTTTTGTTCAGTGCACTAAATCACCAGTAAATTCACATCTTCATCTCATTATCATTTAACAATTCTAGATTTAGTTCTGCTATTACAACCTGGTGGTATGAAAATGACATTGTGTTACATTGAGACAATTACACTGACAATCTCACAAAGAATACCAATGTCATATTCAACAAATTTGTGAGTAATCAACTGGGACTTCAGGGACATCGCTTTTCCGGCAGTAATAATCGCTTAAAAAATAATTCTATTACTCAATCCACCACTGGATTCTGATAATAATCTTTGCATTTAATATAGTGCCTTATCACGTCTTTGAGACTTGTCAAAGCACTTCACAGAATATACTGAAAAGTGAACTGACTGTATATTTTGTAGATGAAATGCGGCAGCAAACTGCGCACAACAATGTCCCACAAACAATCGTGGATTGAATGACATTTTTAAAAAGGGATTATTACCCCCGGAAAGCGATCTGCCAATCGACTAACAACTCGGTTCCTACCTACTAATGTAAACAAAGGCGTGTGGAGTAAGAAACCCAATTAAAGATCAACTAATGTTTCCTCCTGCCTGGGAATCAAACCCGAGTCCTCTCGCTTGCGAGGCGAGCACACTAACCACTAAACTACAGGACTCCATTATGTACAGAACCATTATTATTACCTTCAGAACTATTGAGAATTCTGTATCCATTCAAAATGAATGTGGCTGGTATACACACACGGGTGTCGTACCATTTTAAAAAAGATTGCAAATACAGTGAAATGAATGAAGAAATATTCTAAGAAATATTCGAAAGGTTGCATCAGTATTTGGTAATGTAACAGTTCTATGTAACAGTTCTATGCAATAACATTCTACAAGGCAACCTTTCTTGTACAGCAAAGGGTTTTCCTATGGGAACTTGTTTCAGAGATAAATATTGGCTTGATTTTTAGCTTTTCTCAATCTATTTGTGAACAACGTGTTTGCAATTCCTCCTCTTTTCTCTCCTTCTCAAACTTGATCTCCTTGCGTCATCTACTTTATTCTGGATGGCGAGACCACGTGAGCTGTGTACATTTCTTCAAATGAGGTTGGTCGAACCTCATAACCGATTGATGGGAGCATCAGTTCAAAAGGCTGAGTCAAGCTACATCAGTCCAGTTCTGTTTCTTACTGCCATAATTTCTCCCCTATCCCCTTATAAGAGGTAGATAATGCAATCTAGAAAGGCCTCCAGCAACTCCTACTTATATCTTAAAAAGCTGTTTTGTCTTATTCTTGGCAACAATATTTAAAAAATAAAATCACCTTTATTTCCTAGAGAGGTAAATAGTTTAGTACACACATTGTTTGGCTCATGCTCTATTCCTATGAACTCCTCCACCTTTGGATTTAGTGAAGACAATAATGGATTTTCTGCAGTTACGTGGCTGCCTTTGTGCACTAATTTCTCCATAGACTAACAACTGGCTATTCTCATCAGACACAGTGAGGTGCAAGATGAGAAAAAACAATGATCAACATTATTTTTGAGGTCTGCATTGAGGATTCCATCGTAACATCTAGAAAAAAAAATCTTGTCAGTAAATAATTTTAGAACCTTATTTAGATTTATGTGCTGAGTTTGGATCTGAAAGACAAACAAGGCTGAGCAATATGAATAATGATTGACATCACAATACGATTACTAGCAATGTGTTGAACTAGCAAATGAGTGAATAAATTAAACATAAGTAATTGTAAACAGTCAAAGATCACATGCACTTACTGTAAACTTAATTTAGTGTAGCTGCCATTTACTTTTTTAACATTGTATTGAATCTCACCACTGTCTTATTTATAGGTTTTACTTTCTGCAGAATCTAAAAAGACTCCAAGGCTGCCCTGATGGCCTAGTGAGTAAAAGCATTGTTTAAGTTACGCAGACCAGGAAAGTGACAGATAACTGCAGAGTCAGCCAAAGCATTTTTAAATTTAGTCTTAATATGGAAGCCTCTCTGGTCTTGCAGTAAAACTCAATGAGGGGGAAGGTTAAATGATTAATGCCTATCACAATCAGTCACGACCAATAGAAAGTATCACTGTGAGGGATATCAGGCTCTGAAATTCCCTGTTCTGTGGAAAATTTTGAAACCAGTTTTCCCCAGTTCTTTTTAAGAACTACAGAAAAAAATGACTTCCAAATTAAGACTACATATAAGAATTTGCCCAAAATCTGCACAATCTGAATTTTTAAATTGTCTTAAAGCTAAGTCTTAAAGCTTAAACCATGTGGAATTTTAGGATTCAGGTGAGAATGGGATTGGCCTTGGATGGGATTGATTATGATTGATTATGTTCAATTGCAGCTGCCTCATTGCTATTCCATCTGAGATGAGCTAACTCAGCACAGAATGGGGATCTTTCAGGTTGTCTGCCACAGTTCCACACTGGCCATCAAGCTGTTTTTTAAACGAGTCTAGTGTCCTGCCCTCTACCACCTTTCCTGACAACCTTTTCCAGTCATTGATTATCCTTTTAGGAAAGAAGACTTCCTGGTGTCTGTCCTGAAATTGCCCATTACAACTTTAAATCTTTGTTTTCAATCTCATTTAAATTTTATACACAAATCGACAGTGTCTTGGATATCTTTCCCCCAAAGGTGGAACCAGAGACTTGGCAGCATTCACAGTGAACTGACCTGGTGCTCTTGCTCCAGTTCACTGTGTATCTGCTGTGCTTAATCAGCATTAGTTAACGTACAGTACTAAGGCACACTGGTGGAAACAGCTTTAAAAAAATAGAAGATTTTTACTTCTATCAAAACCGAGTCTGAAGATTCAGGGAATATTCTACCCCATTGTGATTCCCACACCACCCTACCCCACCCGTATCCAAGAATGCCAAAAGCTTTGTAAACATTATTGTACACCTCATGAATAATAAATTTGTCAATATATTAAGGTAAACTCCTTCACCCTAATGCATCCTAAAAGTCAGTTTCACAATGAGCTGTTTCCAGCCACAATAAATAATTCAGCCAATTATGCCAAAGCTGGCAGCAAATGAGACTTGTTAGATTGTGAAGTCAAACTGATCACAGGCTTGGTGACCGCTGATTTCATTTCTTCTGGACTGTTCTCTATACTCAAACTCTGCAGTAATTGCGTTATTGATATGTCAATGAAAGTACAGTACTGAGTTTGGGTTCTGTGCTCTTTGGTGCACCACATTGAAAATTCTGAATTCTGTTCCAGCAAGGAAATGCACAAGGAAGAAGCCAAGCACTTTACTGCTAGGAGAGTACACAGTTTATCGGTACCCAAGCCAGTCCACCGCTCCTGTGCATTGTCCTAGTGATCATTTATAGGTTGCCAAAGCCTGGGTAGGTTAAATATCTGCCCCACAGAGAAAATTAGAATCTTTCGGGACCTAACTGTGGAAGCGGTGGGGCTCAAGTTAAAATTCACATTAGCCAAAGGTTAATCCTAACTGGCAAGACACTGGCAGTTGCAATTCCACCAGGGATTAGATTCACTATTTATAATAATAATCCTTGCATTTGATATTCCGCTTTTCACGTCTTCTAGACGTCTCAAGGCGATTCACAGAATATACTGCAAAGTGAATTGACTGTATATTTGTGGGCGAAACGCGGCAGCCAATTGCGCACAGCAGTGTCCCAAAACAGACGTAGATTGAAGTGACCAATTTATTATTGTTTTTTTTTCTTGAGGGATTATTATCAGGCGTGTGTAGTAAGGAAACTTGCCCAAGGTTTCACCCTGCCAGGAACTGAAGCCAGGTCACTCGTTGGCGAGGCGAGTGCTCTAACCACAGAGCTACAGGACTCCAGGGCATAAGGGCAGCACATCCAGTACTTAGTAAATTATTTAATTCCGGCTGAACTTTGAAGCCCATTTTTTGTAGTTCTTAACAGAGTAGATCTAAACCCTGGTGGAATTTCACCCCCTGAAAGTGAAGTACTACGAGGCCAATTTTTCCTCCCCATCCCCCAAAATGCAATCACATGGGAATCCGTACTGTAGCTGGGCATGTCTGCTCCAGTCTTCACTTGTTACGATGTTTTAGGATGTTTTGTGATGTGTGAAGTGACTGGTGGATTTTATAATTAGATGGGTTCAGTAAAACTCGATCGTAATCTGCGTTTTGTTGATGTTTGCCAGAGCACTAACTAACTGAGGTTCATCCGGTTTGATTTGTGCCTCTTGTTAATCCTCACTCAAGACAGTTGTGCTCATGGCCCTTGAGGAAAAATTATTGGTCGTTGTTGTATCCTAAAATGGGTCCCAGCCACCTCTCGACATCTTCCAGCATCATCTGCTTCCTTGCCGCATAATCTTTAACCTGTAAATCAGTAAGGGAATTCCTCTTAAATTCACCGCTCCGTTATTCATCTCTAGTGATGTAAAACAAGTCAGACCAGCCTAATTAATACTAAACTGCACGAACCACAAGTTGGACACAATGATGAAATATTTTTTAAAAAGTGGGGCATAAGTTACAAGCTTCACAAATATACTGTGAAATCAGCTACTAGGCTGTGTGTGGTCCTGCTGTTTAAAAGCAGGAAGCACTCCAACACTACAATTTAACTGAGGGACATTTGTCACAGCAGTTCCCAAAGCTTTAATTGCGTTAAGATTTCATTTCCTGAAATTGGGCTTTAAACAATTTAAATATATACCTGATCCTTTGTAATTTTTCCAACTGCAAAATACATGGACTGTGGGCTGGAGAAGTAAAGTCCAGAGACTGCTGCTGCTGGTGTCATTGCTAAGGATTCAGTCAGTTTAATTCCTGTGCAGAAAATAAAGCCTTTTCAGAGTGTCACAACAGGAGTAAATGAAGATAAATACTTTAAGACAATAATTCCTTATTTACAGTAAACTCCTGATAATTCATCACTCCAAGGCAAAAGAGTTCAGTGACGAGTTATCTGGAGTAGTGAGTTCGGCATATATATACATAAATAAATGTGGCTGGGACATTGACAGCACGACGATTTAAGTGGTAGTGACAATTTAAGCCACGTTTAAGTTATCAGAAGTTTACTGTATTCATTCTAAAAACACAGCAGGTTGACCAGCATTGAGAGAAAAAAGCAGAGTAACATCTGGATGTTGCCTTCATCTAGTTACAACTATCCAATTATCGCCAAATGTAAGACAGAAGTCTGACTGACTGCCTACCACATTAGCAGCAACAAAGAAACCTGGCCCAAGAGTCTTTTACCTGTACTCTCCTGAACACTGGCTAGATTCCACATGGTTATTTTCTCGGTGTGATCAGGCTGACTCGGATATCCTGGAGCTGGACGGATCCCCTCATAGCGGATTTTGTGCATGTCTGAAGCGTCCAGGTTCTCGCCACGGCAGTAACCCCAAAATTCCGTGCGGATTCTTGCATGGAGCTCCTCAGCAAAGGCCTTCCAAATATGGAGGAAATTAATTGAAATCAGCAGCAGGTACTTTACAGCTTAACACAAGTGTCAACCGAAATTGGTAAAAGGCATTTCACAGCTGAAATTTTGTGGAAATTTCCAAGTCTGGAATGGAATGTGTGCTCTCGCCCTAGTAGGTAGGATACATCCTGCTTACCTAATTCAGGAGTGTATTTGGTGCAAGCTGGCAAGAAAAGAGCTTGGGAATCCAGAGGGTGTGTTGGGGTACTGACAAGAGTTTAACCAGCTAAAACCATTGAGAGCCCTGTCTGGCAAGCTTCCCATTAGGGCTTTGCAAGATTAATTGGAATGGAGTGGGAAGAGTCCTTGCCCCCAGTGAAATTAGAGTGCACCGGACACCTTCATGTGATCATTAATCCGTGCCACAAAGAGCAATGAGAGGAATAACCAGTCATTCTATTTTTAAGGATTTTGCATAAGGTGAAACATTCGAACTCAAAAACAGTGTCGTGCAATTTTTTGTCTTGATAAGACACCAACAATAATATATAATTTGAAGGATAGCAACTTCCAACAATGAAGCTCCTTCTGTCCTGCATTGGACTGAGCCTAGATCATGAATTTAAATTGAGCTAGCCTATTAGCTACTGCAACTCTGCAACCCCTACTGCAACTCAGCGCATACTTGTGCAAACATTAATACTCAAATATGGAGGCTGACATACCTGCAACTGCAGACAAGCATTTTTCTTCCAATATTAATGTCATGAGATCAGCTCTGCCACAGTATCTGAACACCCATTATACAAACACATAACCCTGGTGATATTAGTACCTTACTGAATATGAAGATGTTATCAGGACTAATAATATGCCAGCCTGGCTGAGTTGTGAGAACTCTCATATCTGAGTCCGAAGGTCAGGACTTTGAATGCACGGTCCAGGCTGCTGCTCCAGTACAGTGTCAGAGGTGCCGTCCTTCAGATGAGACATTATTTGAGAAGAGAAGGGAGTTTCTCTCAGTGTCCTGGACAACAATCATCCAAACATAGTGGCTGATTGTGGGACATTGTAGTGTTGGATGCTGCATTCAGACAGTCACTACACTATAGTATGTGCTGTGAAGCGCTTTGAGAAATCCTCCTAATGTGAAAGGCGCAATATCAAATGTAAGGATTATTCTTTTATTTGAGTCCCATGTGTGCACGGTGCAGAAAGGTACCTGCAAATCAGTAGATTAAAGCTAATTTTAGGCACAGTGCTATACTAAGCTTAATCACACATCATCCTCACTTCAGCGAGTCTGTCTGCCAGCGCTTTAACCATTATGCTGTTGTAGTCATCGCCTTCCTTCTCGTAGTGTTTGCTCAGCTCTTCAGCACCAAAACAAGCCACTGCAAAGAGACCAATGTAATCAAGCACACCGGAGTCCTTTGGTGCTATGAAGTCAGAGATACAGTAGTGCGGGTCCTTGCTGGCAGAATCCTTTTCTGCCTGAAAAAGATAACAGTATTGAACGACTATGTTCTGCCACAATAAAATAGTTTAAGGTAATATTTCCCTTCAAAGTCATGCTTGCATTTACAGCCCTTATTGGTTTTGGTCACCTTCCTCCCCCTCCCCCCGGCTCGGTCCCGGGACCCGTTACTGTAAAGTGCTCTGAGACGCCGTCCAGCGTGGAGGGCGCTATATAAATCCAAGTTGTTGTTGTTGATGGATGTAATGTTTTTTAGAAGCACCCCATCAATAGTTGCACAAACTGCTACTGCAAAAACAACCTGGACCATAACTCTATCCCTCTGTTTACTCCAAGGGCTCAGCTGAAGAGGTGCAAAGAAATGTTTGTTGCAGCACTCAGGCCCGAAACCCAATTTAAATTGGATTCACAATTTTCTTTTTTTTAAATTATTCAGTACTCAACAAGAAACACAATTACGTATGCAGAAAAGAACACAAAACAAGAGGCAAGATGCAGAAACAAAAGTTATCCAGTGATTGTTAAGATTATACGATCTACAATGGAGCCTCATTATAAGCCTTTTTTTCTCTAGTTTCTAGGTTGATTTGAATGAAGAAGATCCTTCGACCTTCATTCTTTCAGAACACTCCCACAACCATCCTCCGGTTACAGAATTAAAGTGTTTTTTTTAATGAGTCCAGTGACGGGCCTCAATCACCTTTCCTGGCAATATGATCCAGTTGTTAATTACCCTCCAGGGAAAGCAATACTTCCACAGTCTGTCTTGAAATTGCCCTTTATAACTCTAACCTATATCCTTTTATTCTAATGTCTTGGTGCATCCTAAAGTAATGATCTGGGTTAACAGCGCCTTGGGACATCCTCCTGACGTGAAAGGTGCTATACAAATGTAATGTTGTTGTTTGTTGGGATCCATAGTGAGAAGCAATATGCGCACGCACAGCCAGCCGGATCACTTCCTGCACACTGGCCATTTCCCACTTTGAACGAAAAATGTGCAGCAAAGCAGGACATGACATTGATGGCAACTTCATGAACAGGAAGTCAGAAATTTTAGCACAAAAGCCATCCAACGGGCAGCAAGTGAGTGAGCCCACTGAATGTGTAGTGAATAGTTCTGCACTGTAACTGGGTAAGAACTGAATTATGCTACAAAGAAGCACATGACAACAAGCTTAAGAACTGTTTAATAATTGTGAGATAACAAACATAATTTGTTCAAGCCTGATTTCAAGCTGTCCAAAAGGGAAACAGTCTGGGTCACTTTATAATTCTGACAACATTTTGTACTCAGAACATTGGCTCTGTTGAAGGTGACGAAAAGTAACAAAAACGCTGTATATTTGTTAAGTAAAGATGAAGATTTTTGAATATAATTAAACACAAAAGGTTTGATCCCAGAAGACCAACGAATCTACATCTGGACCTGAATGATATTATCTCTGTGGAACTCCACCTGGAGTCCCTCCCTCTTTCCAGGTCTATCTCAAGACCTACTTTTTGATTGTGCTCTCGGTTACCTTTCTCCTCCCCATTGAGTTTTGGCTCTCACCCCCAGCTCGGGTGCCAAGCCAGGATTGTTAAGTGCTTTGGGACGTCCCGCTGATGTGAAAGGTTCTGTATAAATGCATATGTGCATTGTATTGTTGTGCTGTTGTATTGTATTTTGAACCAAATGGAATAAAGAGGACGCTTACCAGAGAGGAGGCTGTGGGGGAGGGGAAGAAGCAATTTCAGTTCGCTCTTAACAAGACAGCAACAAGATTACATTTGTATAGCGCCTTTCATGTCAGGAGGACGTCCCAAGGTTCTTAATATTTATACTGTGCCTCAACCTTGCTATCAAAGGAGTTAGTGTTAAAAGCTTGATGCACATGGTTATTAACAGGGAGAGGAGTACCTTGACTATAATAATAATTCTTGCATTTTATATAGCGCCTGCCTTATCTCAAAGTCTTCACGAGATTTTATTGTGATGTGTAATGATTGTAACAAAAGCCTACAAATACACAGACTAATTTCAATGGTGGTGAGGGAGGGGGGAGGAGAGAGCTATACAATATAAAGTAAAAGGGTGCCCACCCTATCTAGAAAGATTTCAAGCGCAGGCCCAACTTGCATTAATCCTCTCAAATTGGCACATTGCCCAGAATTGTTGTCACCAGATTATCATGTGATGAGAGGGAAAGGGAGGAATGTATTTCTAAAATTAAGATTTAAGCCTTTTCATGTTGTGCCTAGGTGATTAAACTTTTACAACTGTCAAGTGCTGAAATATTTACTGAACTGCTTCTATTTCAGGATTTCGTAAGTATCTCTGTCATGTGCGTGCTGACATGTCAGTGCTCTGAATGCCGCTGAGCACTGAGAAAGCAGCCTCAATTTCGTGACTCACAAGAGTGGTTCGATGCAGAAGGCCGATCGGCCCATTTGACATGGCTGTCATCTCCAACACTCTGAGGTGGCCAGAACCCCAAAATCCCCTTGGGTGTTCAATGCTTTCTGTCATCCAAGATGTTCACCATATTCTGTGCATCTTGGAAAACCTTTCACCATCAAGTCAGTTTAGTGAGGCATCTGCCTTCATTAGGGTTGCATTATCATCAATGACACCTTATTACAATGTGTAACCTCCGGCCATTGCCACCAATCTCCCAGTCTAATTTTGTTTGCCTGCAATTTCACAGTTACTGTACTTTACAGAAATCCTGTAAAGGACTTTGAAATATTTCAACAATCCGATCAAGTGCTATTTCAAACACAAGGTTATTATTATAAGAAATGGAAAATAGCAATAATCATAGTAAAGATTGGTAACTGATTAAAAAATATCATACCTGTTGCCGTAAGCCATAAAAAGTAGCCAGTGGTTCACCAGAGCGTGGAAAAACATCCTCCGCAAACACATGTATGTCATCTCCAACACTCTGAGCTGGCCAGAACCCCACAATACCCCTGGCCTTCAGATGTTTTCTGTCAATCATGATGTTCAGCATATTCTGTGCATCTTGGTAAACCTTTCGAGCTTCTTCCCCTAAGAGAGGACAGTAATGTATAAACCTGCTGATCAACAACATACAAGTATGAGGAAAAGGAGGATGCTGTTCAGACCATAGAGTCTGTTCTACCAGTTTATTATTTTTGGCAGATCTTTTAATCCCAAATGGCCATTTGTCATACCCCTCATTACGTCTACTACCCACGTATCCCTCTCTCTCCCTTTAAAACATCCCTATTGATTTGCCTCTACAACTTCCTGGGGCAGAGCATTCCATATCTTCACAACCTCTGTGTGAAGAAATGCTCCTGACCTCAGTTATAACTGTCTTAATTCTGATAAAGTCATGAGAACATAAAAGACAGTGCAAGGTATCAGCAATGATAAGGGAGCTCTGTCCTTCATGTCCCCATCTTTATTGAAATACATCAACAGCAGCAGCAACAACAACAACTTGCATTTACAAAGCACTTTTCACGTATGGTAACGGAGCCCTTTACCAGGACAGGGTTGGATACCAAGCAAGGGAGAGGGGGAGGGGAGGAGGGAGGGGTGGTTATAGGTGTGTTTGAAGAGGTAGGATTTAAAGTGGGATTTAAAGACAGAGAGGGAGCGAGATGGATTGGTAGAGGGAGCTCCAGAGGTCAGGGACATCACAACCACACAGTACAATAAAACTATTGCTAGTAATTATATATTAAACATAATTCTCCGAGCTGATGAATTTGTGAGAGGAGTTTTACTCGCACTAACCAACTGTAGGATCTTTAAAGATTTTGGGATATCCTCTGTTTGGATATCTTCCCCTCAGCTGCCAAACGTCAAAGAAAGGCTTCCAGTCAATGTAGCTGGTCAGTCTGTGCACATCATAGTCTTTAAAGACCTGGGTACCTATGAACGCTGGTTTTACTGTTTAAAAAAAAGGAAGAACAATGGAAATAGGGTCAGCTTGGTAGTACTCATTTCTGGGTCAACAAAATTGTGTATTTAACCTCCTGGTTGGGTGTTGAGTTCATCGTGAGGGCTGACAGTGAGATTGTGTAGCGCCTTTCATATTGGGCAGATGTGTCCAAGTACTTCACAGGATTTACTGTAATTAGTCGTGACTGTGTTTTGTAGGCGAATGGGGCAGCCAATCCACACACAACAATGTCATACAAACAGCTATTTTAAAAGGATACCCTAAATTTGTAAATTTACAGATTTATAATGCTATATGTCCTCTAATACAAGTTGTGCTGCAGGTGTGTTTAGAAGGTTTAATCGTTGCTAAAATTAATGAATCTCTTCAGAAGGATTTTGGGTTCCAACTTCTCTGCTAATCCAACAATTAATTATAATAAGAATAATTCTTGCATTTGATATAGTGCCTCATCATGACAAAATGTCTCAAGAGTTTTTCAGTGTATTTGTGGGTAAACACGGCAGCCAATTTGCTCACAGCAATGTCTCACAAACAATCTTTAAGTGAATGACCAATTTTATTTGGAGGATTGTTGGCCAAAACAATGAGATAAATGCCTTTGTCTTTCGAATAGTTGCATGGGATCTTTCAACATCCACTGTGATTTAACATCTCATCCGAAGATCGGCACCTCTGACACTCCAGCGCTCTCTCAGTTTACAAATGAATTCTGTTTTTGCTGACCTGGTGTAGGATGTGAGAGCCAGTCTATGTGAAATCCCTGGATCCTGGCTTGCTCCAGTGTCAGGTATCTTCTATCCTACAAAAAGTAAGATTTTGGATCAGTGAACTGATCAACCAGCTTCAACACTCACTAACCCTCATGCTTTTAGCCTGATAACCACGGTCTTAAAATATAAGATTGTGCAGAATTTCAGAAAAGGACCTAAATTCAGTCTTGGCTTGGAAGTCATTTTTCCACAACTCTTTGAGGCAATCTGCAAATTAAGACTGAATATAAGACTGTTTTCTATGGTGTAGTGTGGCTTGATGGTTCGAATCCAGGTCCATGCTGGTCTCAGCCAGGGTTGCACGGGAGGTTAAACTGCCCTTTATAATAATAACAATCCTTGCATTTGAAATAGCTCCTTATCATGGTGCTGAGACATCTCAAAGTGCTTCACAGAATACATTGTAAAGTGCATTTGTGGGTCACATATGGCAGCCAGTTGCGTACAACAGTGTCCCACAAATAGTCGTGGATTGAGTGACCAAATTATTATTTTTTTTGGAGGGATTAAGGAGGGTTTCTAGGGTTACGGAGGCCAAAATAAGTAAGGGGCATCTGCCCTTGGTCTCTCTACAGCATCCTCCACTGATTGTGCATATTTGAGCTGTGGGTGAGGAGAGGCCTGCTGACACTCACTGACAATGTTCACACATTGAAGAATGGCCTTTTGGGACTGGGTTCCAGAGATAACCAATGCACATGGAACCACATCTCAACACGAGGAGGCTGGGGACAGAGAGCAAAGGTATGCGCCAATCGAGAGAGAAATTGGACAAATATTTTTTTCTGAAAAAAATCACCTTTTTCCAAAATTCCACTCAATTTTTATTTTTTAAGATAATGAGAAACTCTGGGTTCAGATCTCTTCATTTGCAAGGCCGGCAATGAGATCAAAGGTGATCAAAATCTAACTGGAGTTTTGTATAAACTGACCATTAAAGAATCATAGTGATTCTGTCGAACCTCTTCGTACTCTTCAGTTACTTCATCAAAGTAATCATCTTTCAGGTCTTCGTCTAACAGCTGAGAACACTGGAATCAAGGGAACAAATAAATGCACTGTGATACATGAGGAGGTAAATGCGTGAGAAATGTCACATCTATTAAAACAAGATTACTGTTCCACCAGTGAAAAGGTGGCTTTGCAACTAATATGACTTGTTACTCGAACACTGCTGAAGATGTTCTCTTTTCAAAGGATGGTAAAGAGTAGTTTTCTAATCAATAACAATATGAAACTAGATTGGAGCGTCTTCAATATACAGATGATGAGCATTGAGCTTAGTAACATAAACTTAATGGGGAAGCGTTATTCAAGCATAGAGGACCTAACAACATCATTGTGGGGAGCCTGAGGGACAAGTTCAAGTGCATGGGAGGGGCAAATTAAACAAAAATGTTCCGAAACAAATAAAAAGAAAAATGAACAGTAAGACTTGCAGGGAGAGGGTGATTATTGGGCAGAGTACTAGAAAGGAACATAGCGGCAGACACCAAAAAATTCTTCCTGGACCACCCTCCCTCCCAGCACAATGGGAGCACCATCACTATAAGGATGGCAATGATTTAAACAGAAGGCCCACCAGCACATTCTCAGGGAAACGAATAATGGCAAGACAACGTCACATCCCGAGACCAAGTAAACAAAAGATTTACTGTATATTTGTGGGTGAGGAAGAGGGGAAACACACAGCAAAAATCTGTTATTTTTATCACTATGTCAGATAAAGCAAAGTTGTCTTAAATGCTGGATTACGTATCAGTGAGAAAATCCCCACTCACTGATACCATTATTTATTATCACCTCTTTGAATTTCAGAGGTAAAGATTGTTCAGCCTCTAGACAATGATAAACAGTGTTAAAGATTGACTGCAGAACCCTCTTTATTACAAAAGGTGCAGAGCAAATAAAATAGATCAGAGGTATCTCCAGAAGCAGATAAACCTCTATTGTGTTACATGGCGATTATCAGAGGAACCGCATATTAGCACTTACCACAACAACACTCTTGGAAGCATCTAAAACGTGAATTGCTGGTGCACTGTATCTTGGTGCAATTTTGACTGCGGTATGGGTTCTGAGAGGATGAAAAGTGATCGAGATTAAAGCAGGCTCAATATTTTAAAGAAAATACAAGAATAAATAATTCAGTCAGTTAGGAACAGAAGGAGGTAACTCAGTTCTGCCAAGTTTCTATAACAACAACTTGCATTTATATAGTGCCCTTCACATGGGTAGCGTCTTGGAGCACTTAGCAGTGGTGTGGTTTGACGTGGAGCTGGAAAGACTGGTGAAAAAAGCTAAGGAATTTCCGGGATTGGGGCAAAGTGGCTGAAAGCAAGGCTACCAGTAGTGGAGTAGAAGGGACGAGGGACATGCAGAAGACCGTGCCAGCTGAGCGAGGGCAGCGGATAGTGAGTTCGCTGCGAGCAAATGAAAACAGATCTTTCAATCCCCTTTTCCTATCTTTTCTCCAAATCCCTTAATCCCTTTACTTCCCAGGTATCTACCTACTCACCCCAACTGATTCAGTCTCTTCCCTCCCCCGCCCACAAAGTCAGCTGTGAAGCACTTCGAGATGTTCTCCTGACATGAAAGACATTGTAGAATGTAAATTGGTCTACAGCCTTCTAGGGCTGTGCAGTCCACATTCTGTGTGGGAAGAAATGTGTTCAGATCTCACTTCTAATCCTAATCTTAGGATAACGTCCCTTTGTTTTGGATCTCTCTCTAACATTTAGCCTGTCAATTCCTCTTTCCAGTTTAAACACCCCAATCAGATCACCCTTTACCCTCCTCAGCTCTAAGGAATTTCACTGGGAGTTTCTCACGCAAAATCATTCACACGTAACTCCTTAAAATGGGCTATTTTGCAAGCTCTGGAAAAGGTAACTATATGCAAAGCTGTTGAAGGGAATAATCGGTGAGTCACAAAAATGATTTTGATGACAAAAGAGGAAGAATTACTGAGTGAGAGGAGTAGGTGTCCTCTCCTGCACCAGGCTCCGTGACCCCTACCACCCTGTTTGTTCCCTCTGCTCAGCGGGCTCCGGCCTGCTTTACGTCCCCCGCCTTGCTCGCCCCACTATCGGCGGGCGGGCCTTCCACCACTCTGCCCCACCCTTTGGAACTCCATCCTGCAGTCCCTCCGCCTCGCCCCCTCCCTCGCCACCTTCAAGACCCACCTCAAGACCCGGCTCTTTGACAGTGCTTTCGATCTCCCTGCTTCCCCCACTGCCCTCCACTCTCCCCCACCCTGACCCTCAGCTCGGGTCCTTACCTCTGTCTGTCCAGCGCCTTGGGACGTCCTCCCGACGTGGAAGGCGCTTTACAAATGTAATTTTGTTGTTGTAAAGTTGGTGACAATCTTTAATTTTAAAGCTGCTTTTCTGTAAGTTTTCTTTAAGAACTACAGAAAACGACCACCAAACACAGTTTCCCTCCATGAGCCTATCACCCCACCCTCACCTCGTTCAGTAGCTTCCTATCTCCCAGCAAATCATGGTTAAGATCCTCGTCCTCACCTTCAAATCACTCCAGTCACACCCCATTCTCCCTCTCAAACCCTGCAAATCTGGCCACTCCCTATGTTTAAAAGGCACAGACCTGTTTTGTGTCCCTCGGTCTACCCACCTCACCACTGGCAATCGGGATTTCACCCTCTCTGACCCCATCTCTGGAATTCCATTCCGGCATCCCTTCAAATCCCCCCCACCCCCCACCTCACGACATGCCTTTCTGACCGCTCCTCTTGGCTCCCACCCCCAGTTTATCTGCCAACCCAGGCCTTTTATGCGGTCCTCCCAACATAAAAGGACAATACAAATGTAAGGATTATTATTAATAAAACAGGTTTCACAGTTAAAACTGAATACTGTATTAATACAGTAAATGTAGACTCGTGGAATTTATACCACCATTCTGCACACGAGAGCTTACCTTGAGGTTGTGGCTCCGCCGATCAGTAAAGGTGTTTTCATACCAAGTCGCTCCATTTCTTTGGCAACATGGATCATTTCTTCCAAAGATGGTGTGATCAGCCCTGACAGGCCAATGATATCTGTTGTCAAAGTTCAAAAGATAAAAGTACATCAAGCATCATCTGGGAGAAATTTAATATGGGTCTAGATTTACTCTGTGTAGCATTTCAGACCATCTAAAATTTGTCAAATCCTTATATGCAGCCTTAATTTTCAAGAGGTTTTTTTGCCCCTTGGGACGTCCTCCCGACGTGAAAGGTGCTATACAAATGTAATTTGCTGTTGTAGATTTTTTTAAGCACGACAGAAAAAAACGATTTGTGGAGTTCTGTAGCTCAGTGGTTAGAGCACTCGCTTCGCAAGCGCGAGACCTGGGTTCGATTCCCGGCAGGGCGAAACCTTGGGCAAGATTCCTTACTCCACACGCCTGATAATAATCCCTCAAGAAAAGAAAACAATAATAAATTGATCACTTCAAACCACGACTGTTTGTGGGACACTGCTGTGTGCAATTGGCTGCCACATTTCGCCCTCAAATATACAGTCAATTCACTTTACAGTCTATTCTGTGAAGCACTTTGAGACGTCTAGAATACGTGAAAAGCGCTATATCAAATGCAAGGAGTATTGTTATTATTATTTAAAGATTTTAAGACTGAATTCAACAATTTGCCAAATTCTGAATGGTCTAACATAAATGGAGTAAATCCCCCTTCCTTAGTCACACACCTAGTTTAAGAAGTGAATTTAATCTGACACATCTCTTCACCTTCCCTCTTCTGAACTTGAGTCTGAGTTTCCGTGTTAGATTCTATGACCCGCAACTCAGAACCTGTGTGAAACCTGCATGATTTGTTTTAAATAAATAAATTTAAAAAAACTTGCAGCTAAATAGGGTCAACACACCAAGATTAGGAAGGAACTTATTCCAAATGATAATAAACATCTACACTATGATTTACAATATATGGGTAGATAATTTCACTGGCTCTAGACTTACTCTATTAATGTAGGATTTCAGAGTGTGTAGAATTTGGCAAATTGTGGAGTTGGTTTTAACTTTCCGGCTTGTTTTCTGTAGTTCTTAAAAGAAACTGAAATAAAACTGGCTTCAAAATTAAAGGCTTTATTTAAGAGTATGACATATTGCTGGGTTTCACCAACAAAATACAGTCAATTCACTTTACAGTATATTCTGTGAAGCACTTTGAGACGTCTCAACGACATGATAAGATGCTATATCAAATGCAAGGATTATTATTTTGTTCTTATATGTCACTTGCCCACAAAACATAAGTCATTACACTTTACACATGTCTTGTGAAGCACTTTAAGACATCCTCCTGACTTGAAAGGTGCTATACCAGATGTAAGGATTATTATTATTCAGGATGCTCTGAAATGCTATGTAAATGGAGTTAATCTAGACCTGGTGAAAGTTCTACCCAATGGGGTGTTGCTAATTTTGAATGGGTGGTGAATGAAGAAAGGGACTTTAAACCTAGGGGGAGGAAATACTGAAAGAAACCACCTAACTGGTTTTGTACATTGCTTCAGGGCACCCTTTGCAAGCGCCTAATTGCTGTATTGTATGTTACAGCATAAAATAATCAACGTGGATACAATTTAACCTGAATTAATACTCAATGCACTCACTCAGAATGGCATATTTACCTGCTTTATTCTCAATAGCAGCTCGGAGTATCTTGTCACAAGGTGTCATAACTCCCAAATCAATCACTCTGAAATGAGAACATTAAAAGCAGTTTTTGAAAAAAAATTAAGTTGCTCCTTTTTGGATAATGGAGATTGTTCACTGTGGAAGTGGGGATACAAGTCTGGAGACTGAGATACATAATTTAAATGTAGCAAGAATCACTTATTTTGCCTAGTTATGCATTGGCTTTAAAACTTCTTTCCCAGTTTACAAAACCATGTGATCCACACTTGTTATGAATTTTTGGCAGTAGTACCCATCATGTTCAAGGTTGGAGATGCTGTGACCATATACAAACAAATATTCATTTACAAGGCTGTAATTATAGAATCAGAATCAAATCATATCAAAACATAAGAGCAAAACCTTACAACTAAGAGATATGGTTTAAATCAATCCTTATCCTAAGCATTGATACTGGTTAAAATAATCCTAGCATTCAAAACAGGGCCTATGTCGAAACATGTCGAAGTTCTTCACAGTTAATTGCTGTAAAGTGTCCAACATACACTTGGCAAAGTGCTTTGGTTTGTTACTCTATGTTTATGCAAATACAAGCTGCTGCTGCAAATTAGCCAGAGTAAATGTTAGTAACTTGACACAGTGCCAATTTTATCTATTTAGAGGCAGTCGTGCACATGCCTGATTGGTACGGCAGAAATGTGAGAATGTGCGTGCGATTAACTAAGGTACTTTATATTTTGGGTTAAACAGCACACAAAGCACGAACCAATTGAGAATCAACCCAAAAAGACCAAACTAAAGGAAGCCAACAAAGTAAATTCTACAGTAATTATTTTACCTGAAGTTGTTGCAGCCAAGTACCACACCCACAATGTTTTTGCCAATGTCATGAACATCTCCCTTGACAGTAGCCAGCACAATAGTACCCTGGTATGGGTTCTGGAAAACAAATGCTCTTGTGATCACCTGCATTCAAATCACTGAGACTTGAGATAAATTATCCATTCACTTGATGGATGTTTGTAAAAGGTTGTTGTGCACACACTGTCTTCTGAGTTCACCTACAAATAGTCACCACGCTTTACACTTATGATGCATTTCAAGAAATTTCGACATGCTACATCAAACGCAAGGATCATTATTATGTGTTAATCTAACAGCGTTTTAGGCACAAATCCCTTTAATAAATACACTACAGTATTTACAGAAGGATAAAATAATAGTAATGATAATCCTTGTATTTGACACAGTACCTTTCAGGTCAGGAGGATGTCTCAAAGCACTTCACAGAATTTACTGTAAAGTGTAATGACAGAAGATTTTGTAGGTAAACGTAGGATAAGGTCAAAATCCACCTAACTATGCAATCTGTGCATTTCAATCTTTTGTATCCCAAGAAATGCTGGTCCGGGGAATTAGAAAATAACAAATAAGTGGGGGATAAAATAAAAAGAGAAACATAGAATCATAGAATTTTACAGCACAGAAGGAGGCCATTTGGCCCATCATGTCTGTGCTGGGATTTAAACAAATCCAATGTAAAACCTGAAAATATAAGCAACAGATATAATTAAGTAATGTTATGTTTCATTAAAAATATAAATTCCCCCTCCCCTCATGACCAGTTTTGGATCCTGTAACTTACAATGTCTTCTATACAGCCTGACTGTTCCATCATTTCTGCTCGCTCCTTCTCCATGTAAGGGATTAAGTAACCCACAGCCTTCTTCATAACACGAGCAGATTTAATAACCTATTAACAACACAAAAACATTCAGTTCATCCAACACTGGAAAACATATGAAAGATGCTTGCTTACATTTTTCCATATATTTTTCAAACAGAAAATCATTTTTGTACCACCGCAATCTTGTTTTGCCACAAACAACCCACAGCTCATCCCAGCCCAAGTCACTCTCACTTACAATAAACGACTACAGCTCACTCGGCTCCTGCTGGGTACTCTGACCGCACTGCTTTATGGACAAAAAGCAATAAAAAGGGGTGCAGCAAATATATACAAATACAAAGCTTGCATCTATGTAAAATACTGCTCAGAGTTCATTGCTGTTTGAGGTGCAAAATAAAACATGCTCAAAAAGGATTCATTTCATTCACACCTGTTCTCTGGATCTCCATCCCAGAGTCCCTCCACCTCGCTTCTTCTCTTTCCGACTTCAAATCCATCTCTTCGACTCTGCTTTCGGCCACCTTCCCTCAACCTAATGGGTCCTGGCTGGACAAGCAGCAGAAAACCTGCTTGACAGTGCTATCAAGGCGAGCTATGCCGTTTTAGCTGGTCAGACTCCAGTAGTACCCCAACGCATACACTGGGATCTGCAAGCCTTGGCTCTTGCCAATCTGTGCATAATACTCTCTAGAATTAGGTAAGCAAGATGCATCCCTCCAGGGAGAGAGTGCATGTTCCATTCCAGATATGGGAATTTCCACGTGTAAGTGTTATACATAGAACTCTCAGTTTGTCTGGATACTGTTAAGCATGGTGATGGGCTTCCACATGTGTCAGGGCACCCAGCTGATCAAACCTCCCCCACCCACCGGACTTTGCTACCCACAGAGGCACAAGTCTCCATCAACCAGTATGCAGTGTAGGGAAAACATATTGTTCTCCCTCTGCAGCTCATGTTATCCTACCATCAATTTTACCTGTGGAAGAAACATTTTTCCCGATCCAAATAATTCCCCCACCACTTTCATTCCACTCATCAGAGGTCCTTCGATGATATTCAGAGGCCTGGGGTACTTGCTCAGATTGCCTCTTGCCTCTGCTGTATCTTCCACTACGTATTTTTCTATACCCTGAGGAACAAGAAGTGGATTAGCATTTGCACCGTAAAGCAGAAGGGAGACGACAGAATGACAATAATGAGGTCAAATCCCCAATGTTCCTTCTTGGGATTCCTAAGGAATCTGAGGCAAGTAAATTGGAACTTTCTTTGGTAACTGGAAGTAGGCACGCCATGACAACTTGTGGGAACTCAACTCAGATGCACGTTACTTCCGGAGTTACTCGGTCAACAAGAATGCTAACATATGGAATACCATTAATATATGTCGCATCTTAGACACCAATCTTACACATACTCAAACTTTTACCTTAACCAGGGCATATTCCAGGCGCTCCTCCACAGTCTCATACCTCCAATCATCTGTTTGTATCACTTTTTTTCCACCTTTTGCATGATTCTGAAAATATAAATATTTACAACATAAATGTCAATTAGACCAGTTCAGATCTTAGAGATAACTTTCAGAGAGCACTTTAGGAAGTAATAGACAGCCTGGCTCAATTGGTAGCGCTCACACCTGCATGAGGTTGTGTCAGAAGGTTGTGTGTTCAAGATCCACGTTGGGACGTAGTTTAGGATGACATGTAAGTGCAGTCCTGGAGGAGTCCTACATTATAGCAGGTGTTGTCCATCAAACGAGACATTAAATATTAAAACATTAAAAACATTAAAAATCCTATCTGTCTGTTCAGGTGAGTGTTAAAGATTCCATGAACTATTCAAAAAAAGGTAGGAGTTTCCTCCAAGATCATGGCCAGCCATCCCCAGATAAAATTGGTCATTTGTTTTACGGCTATTTGAGGGACATTACTACACATCAGCCCTGATGTGTACCCAGTAATCTATATAGTATTTAGTGTCTATTGTATCAGAGTCAATGCTGGATCACAATGTGGTTTTAATACAGGTTTTTTTCTCACTTGTAACAGTTGGGTCAATTTTGCAGAATTTCTTCACCAAGATAAATCTGTGACTAATCTTAGAAATGCCAGTCCCCAATCCAATCTATAATCAGTGGACAGGAGGGGGTTGTACCTCAAAACCACAATTGATTGAAACATCTGCCTACAAATACTTGACAGAATTTTTTTTTGACCTCAAGTACTTTAAGATGTTTTGACATTAGAGGTACTATATCAAACACAAAGAGGTACTATTTTTTTTTTTACCTCAAGTACTTTAAGATGTTTTGACATTAGAGGTACTATATCAAACACATTATTAACAATAATACCATGATTTAGAACAGCTGAAATGTTCATTTCTTGAGGTGGCGTGAATGATATATAAAAACTGACACCTGGGATTCAAATATTTCGGTATTGGGCTATAGCTGCAGCTATTCGGCCATTCAAAGAGAGATTTTTATTGTGGAGTCCTGTAGTTCAGTGGTTAGAGCACTCGCTTTCCAAGCGAAACACCTGGGTTCAATTCCAGGCAGGGCGAAACCTTGGGCAAGTTTCCTTACTCCACAAGCCTAATAATAATCCTTCCAAAACAAAACGATAATAAATTGTTCATTTTCAATCCACGACTGTTTGTGGGACATTGCTGCGCGCAATTGGCTGCCGCGTTTCGCCCATAAATATACAGTCATTTCACTTTTCAGCATATTCTGTGAAGCTCTTTGGGACGTCTAGAAGATGTGAAAAGCGCGATATCAAATGCAAGGATTATTATTATTATTATTTATCAACTTTAGTCATCAGTCACAAAGTAGTTTTGACTTGCCATGAATTTCAGCAGTTTTAAACTTTAAAAATCAGGCTGCTGCTCACAAAGAGGTGTACCAGCGTTCAGATCAGAAAAGCTGACATAAAGCGGGCTTAAAGTAGCTCCCTTCTGCCCTTCCCTTCTGCCCTGAAAGCAGTAACTTGTGCTGGGGTCACACTGCCAGAGCCCCTCACCATGGACCCAAGGCAGATTATGGTGGCCAAAGTAGCTTAGCTGATGATGGTCTTGTCTAATGCGGGGAAACTTCCATTCGGCATTACGTGCAGACGTCTTTGGCAATGTGCAACTATGATGGGAATCCTCGTCAGTGTCCCACATCACCAAAGACAATGCCTTTCAATTCACTGAATGGAATTTTTACCCAAATTCTGTATATGAGCATTTTGCATTAGGGATGACTGGACTGAATCAGGGGTTGGAACCTCACTAGCCCGAGATTGCTGAGGCTAACTGTATGAAGCCAAACTGCTGCCACGGCTCAGATCAGCTAACTCAAGACACAACAGGGATCTTTCTGGTTCGGGCTCAGTTAATCATTCAGCAGATCAATTCACTGAGCTGACCCACCTGGTTTATTATATTGATGCATATTTTGAATATATATTTACAAGTATACAGTGCTTGCAAGAAGAAAAAAGATATTTCTAATGGTTATTGTCAAACTTACTTGTATCATCTTGAAAGGTTAGAAATGTGTGGCTTCACTTTTCTTACCTGGGCGTAACGTAGCAACTTGTCTGTGGCTTCAGGGTCCTTGTTCCAGATCAGATTCTCACATAGCTCCAGGAGCTCTTTGTCTACGTCATCATAAACTGGCAGGTTGCCTGCATTCACTATCCCCATATCCATCCCAGCCTAAGAGGAGGGGAAAGTTGACTTTTATTACATAAACTGCAAGAACAGATTTACCGTGAGCCACTGAGGTCAATTTCCCTGTATTTTTCAATGAAGAAGTCCAAGTGGGTATTCTTTTCAATAATTCCATGTAAGCCATACCGTTTTGAGGTACAACCCCCTCCTGTCCACTGATTATAGATTGGATTGGGGACTGGCATTTCTAAGATTAGTCACAGATTTATCTTGGTGAAGAAATTCTGCAAAATTGACCCAACTGTTACAAGTGAGAAAAAAACCTGTATTAAAACCACATTGTGATCCAGCATTGATTCTGATACAATAGACACTAAATACTATATAGATTACTGGGTACACGTCAGGGCTGATGAGGTGCCTGCCCTTTAAGGTACATAAAGGAGAGAAATTCTACCTGGTTCGAGATTTACTCTATTGATGTAGCATTTCAGAGTGTTCAGGCTTTGGCATATTCATAAATAGAGCCTGAAATTTCGAGCCGTTTTTCTTTAAGTTTCTATAAAGAACTACAGAAAAACAGCTCCAAAGTTAAGACTTAATTCAACAAGTTTCCAAATTCTGGACACTCTAAAATGCCACATAAATAGAGTAGATCTAGAGCCAGGTAGAATTTCTCCCCAGTAGAGTCTAAACATGTGAATTCTCTACCTTAATTGCATGATAAAGGAACACGCCATGCATGGCTTCACGGATAGCCTCCATTCCTCGGAATGAGAAGGACAGATTGGAAAGGCCGCCACTAACTCGAGCTCCTGGTAGCTTTTCCTAAGTTTGTAAGGAAATAAGACAAATTCATGAATCAAATCTGGCAATAATGACAGATCACAAGTCACTTAGTGCATCTCGCTGAGTGAAAACAACAGCTATGAATGAATGAAGGAGTCTAGGGTCTTCAACACTCATGTTCACATAAATACTGATTGACGGTATTAACATTAAGATGAAGAGCAGACTAGACTAGACACAGGTCCAGAGGATTCTGGTTCAAATCATGTCTAAAAATAGTTGAGGGGGGGGAAGAGGAGGTAAACAGGTTCTACCTGGGCCTCCTCTTCCCCCCCCTCAACTATTTGCCTGAGGAGACATGCCTGGCAAAGTCAGCTAGATTCACAGTAATGCAAGACAATTTTGATGATTCAGAAATCAAAGAAAGTAATTCCCCAGTTATCAACGACCATCAATGTGCTAATGTACACCTTGTTGACCAGGGCTCTCTGCCTCCTCGTCCTCCTGGATTTCTCCACCACGTTCGACACAATCGATCACACCATTCTTCTCCACCACCTGTCCTCAATCATCCACCTCAGTGGGACCGCACTCGCTTGGTTCGAGTCCTACCTTACAACCGCCAACACTACAGTCTGCGTATGTTTTTTCTTCTCGACATTAATTTTTCTTAGCTACATTAATTGTCTGCAGTTACCTTTAGAACTGAAGTAGCTTTGATGAAGTTCTCAGCATACATATTGTGCTCTTCCATTCCAGTCCCAATGGTCAGTATGTTTGGATCAAATATTATGTCGTTGGGATTAAATCCCATTTTGCTCACAAGGAGGTTGTAGGCTCTGAAGCAAATCTTCACTTTGTTTTCAGTATCAGTTGCCTAAAAAGGACCAAAGATAGTTCAGTGTCATGAACCCACTCTGATCGGACCAATGGCCAATCGTTAAATGCTATTCAATGAGTAACTTTCAATTGCATTAGTTTCTGGACCACAAGTAACACAAAGCATTGCACACTGGGATCTAAATTGCAGCGTTTGCAGAAGGTTTATGCAGTTCACAGCTGTTTGTGGGACGTTGCTGTGGATAAAAAGATTGCCACCTGCAAAATCCATTGCTACATTTGTAAGTACTGTAAGTACTGTAAAGTGCTTTAAGGCATTCCTCCAGGCTGAATACTATAAGTTCTTTCTTTGAACTAGTTCTTTCTGTTTTGAACTAGTTTTTGCTTTCCTTGAACTAACATGACCAGGGGCTATAATATAAACAGATCACTCATGCCCCACAAAGTTGATCTCACAACAGCTGAAAAGTAGAGGCAGTAAGTGTGACAATGGGACATTACACCAATAGTGCAATAATACATTAAATAAAGGATAAAAAGGGGAGGGGGAAGAATACAAGGAACATATAACTGTTGGTGTTTTGATACTGTTCTCTTACCTGCCCGTTTTCATCAAAAGCCATGACAACAACCGCAGCCCCAAAGCGCTTAATGATCTGTGCCTTCTGGAGAAAGTCTTCTTCCCCTTCTTTAAGGCTGATACTGTTCACAACACATTTTCCCTGGCAACATTTCAGGCCCGCCTCAATCACAGCAAAATTGGAAGAATCTATGCACAATGGGACCTTCAAGGAGAAATATATATGTACAGTCTTACTGGCCTTTGTCTAATTCAACAAGTAATATTCTTTTGTAACAATGATGAAGCAAAAATCCCTATCAATTGTCCATTTTTCCTCAATACATTTCTGCTACAATATATATGTAAAGTTTAACTTGTGATAAGTCTCCAGTTTCTGCTAGTCTATCAGCCTGTGCTGACTTTATGGATCTGAGCAGCTGAGTTTGGTTATACCAAGTGCCTGTAACTTGGAGCCAACCAATTAATATCCTGTCGCAAGCAAAGTGCCGTTTCTCAAATACATCACTTGTGTGGCAGTACAGGGTCAGATATTATTAATCATGTGAGAGTGTTTGGAATAGCATATTGTCTTACTTTGCTTTATTCGTTCATAGACAGACACCTCTGCCTGTTCACAGTCAAAGTTACCTTCAATTGCTTTTTAGCCGTTTGTTGCCAAACAAATTACTGAAAAAACATCAGCAGGCTGTGGTTATAGCAAGTGAAACACCTTGAATGCCTTGAACTGTTTAGAAAGTATTTTCTGGTGCTTTGCATTAAACCTGTTTGTAATTGATTGGATTTTCTGGATTTGTACCAGAAATTAAAGTTTCTGCACCTTTCCTTCCTTTGTGGAGGACAAGGTGAAGGTGGACTATTCTGCCTTTACCAGCTATTTGTATCTGTATTAAATGAGATTTGGTTTTTTGCTGTCTTCAAGCCACTTACCCAGAGCCCAAGATCTCATCAGTCTGCAAACATCAACCAATACTGCCACCTAGCAGTTGAACTGCAAATAGCCTGAATAATAATAACGTTAATAAATAATAATCCTTGCATTTGATATAGCGGAGTGGAGTCTTGTAGCTCAGTGGTTAGAGCACTCGCCTTGCAAGTGAGACAACTGGGTTCAATCCCAGGCAGGGCGAAACCTTGGGCAAGTTTCCTTACTCCACACCCCTAATAATAATCCCTCCAAAACAAAACAATAGTAAATTGGTCATTTTCAATCCACGACTGTTTGTAGGACATTGCTGTGCGCAATTGGCTGCCGCGCTTCGCCCACAAATATACAGTCAATTCACTTTACAGCATATTCTGTGAAGTGCTTTGAGACGTCGAGAAGATGTAAAAAGCGCTATATCAAATGCAAGGATTATTATTATATAGCGCTTTTCACATGTTCTAGACGTCTCAAAGCGTTTCACAAAATATACTGTAAAGTGAATTGACTGTATATTTGTTGGCAAAACACGGCAGCCAATTGCGCACAGCAGTGTCCCGCAAACAGTTGTGGATTGAAGTGACCAATTTATTGTTTTTTTTCTTGAGGGATTATTATCAGCCATGTGGAGTAAGGAAACTTGCACAAGGTTTTGCTCTGTTGAATGGAAACCTTGGAACAGACCTTGTGTCGTACATTTTAACTGATTTTATAAAGCTGTGTTGAGAAGGTAATTAATGAAAGTGAATCACTTTGCATCCAGAGATAGTTAATAATAAGAGTTTGTATATCAGTTTGGCTCTGTTGGTAACAATCTCGCCTCCGAGTCAAGCCCCTCAAGTTCAGACTTTGAGCTCACAATAATAATAATAATCCTTGCATTTGATATAGTGCCTAATCACATTGTTGAGACGTCTCAAAGCACTTCACAGAATATACTGTAAAATGTCTACGTATAAACAATATATTGTCCAATCCAGGCTAATGCTCCAGTACAGTGTTTGGTGAAGATGGGGCAGCGGGGAGTTGTTACAAGTGCCATCCTTTGGATACAATGTTAGATCTCACAGGTGGGTGTTAAAAGTTCCCATGATACTAAGAAATTGGCAATAATCATTCAAATAAACCCGTCAAGCACTTCATAGCTCTTGTGGGATGCTGATGTGTGCAAATTGGCTGCTCCATTTGCCTACAAGTATGCAGTCACTTCACCCGACTTATATTTGAGACAGGAGACATTTCAATGCTGCCAGATGCAAGGGTTGTTATTATTTTAATAGGAGAAAGAGCAGGAAAAGAACTGGATGAAGTGTCTCTCGATTTGATCAGAGAGAAACTGCAGGTTGAGGCAGAAGTCACAGTGCGTGAGAGAGGGAGAAGACAATTTTACAGAGGGGATTAGTGATCTGATATAATTTGCTGTCTCTGAAAGCTATGATTCCTCAGAAGCTCTCTTAATCTACCCCTGAGCCTTTAGAAAAAGTTGATGAAATAAATTCAAAACTAGTCAATAAAACTGAAAACTTAAAGACACAATTTCCCTCACATCTGCCAGTGAACTTAAATACTTCCCTGTGTGATTGTAAGGGAACTCTCAGACACTATAATGCCACACAACCTTCATCATGGGGGGAAGGGGGTTGATATTAGTTTCAAATCTGGAAATCTCATGTGGATTTACTGTAATGCAAGTCGAATTAATATATTTTTGTTGAAATGTGCAGTTGGATACGATGAGAGTAGTCTGTGAAGTATGCGGGAATTATTCCACTTACCTTGGCAACATCTGGCTCTGATGACACAAGGTTGCAAAATTTGGTCATTGCGCTCTTGCCATCCAACATTCCATCATCCATGTTGATGTCCAGGATCTGGGCTCCCATTTCTACTTGAGTTTTGGCTATGCTCAAGGCCTCCTACATCAAAACAATAGCAATTTCCAATAGCCATGAATAATCCAGTGAAACATTTTCTCCCTCGGATGTTCAATGAGAAGGTACAGGTCTGGGTGTTCGATTCCACCCTTAGTGGTGTTTCAATTCCACATCCAATCTACTCCCAGGATCACCTTTTATCACCACAGGAACACTGTTCACGAAACATTCCACCATCACCAATGTTAAAACTCTTATTGTTGCCTCCACTACCTCCTTACTGACTTCCCCATCACCACCTACAACTCGCCTTAGCCACGACACCCCAAGCCAAAATACTGTTCAAAAGAAATGAATAGTTATGGTCACAATTACACAACAACATCTTACCTCATAGTTACCTGCCATAATAAGCTTAGCAAATTTCCTGGATCCTGCTACATTGCACCGCTCTCCAATGTTGACAAAGTTTGTGTATGGTCCAATTTTGAATGGCTCAAGACCTAAGTAAATAATAATCCTTAATACCAATCCTTGCATTTGATATAGTCTTTCACGTCAGGAGGTTATCTCAAAGCACTTCACAGGAATTTACTGCAAAGTGTAGTGACTGCGTATTTTATAGATGAACACTTGGGCCTAATAATGTCCTGCAAACAACCATGAAGTAAGTGATCAATTGTATCTGGGAGATTGTTGGTCAAGTTATATCAGGAGAAATGTCTCTTTTTTGAATAGCACAGTTGGGACCTCAGTTTAACTCCTCATTCGAAGGACAATGCAAATTACTCTCAGCACTGCAGTCGAGTGTCATCTAGAGTGAGAGTTTGAAGTCTGGAAAGTCACCTGTACACTTCAGATTACTTTTTAACTCAAAATGGTACATTTTTATTAATGTCAGAAGTTATACTGTTTTCTATTAATGTTTTTTTTTATTGGTGTTTTAGAAACTTATCTGGCTCTTTTCTCTCTGAATTTGAACCTTGGTGCATACCTCACTGACTCGGATGAAGACAGAGCATCACTGTAAACATACTTTTAGTATTTGTAGTTTGCCCCCGTACCTGCTAATAACATGTAGTCTCCAAAAACTGAAGTTGGAGGAATTCTAGGTTTACAGTTTCGGATGGTTTCTGTTACTGCCCTAAAAATACAATCAACAGCAAATTATTAAAAAAAAATACCAATTTTCTCCAACTCTATCCTGAAGGCATGTTTTAACTACTGAGATGTGTTTATATCAACGTCTTCTGCTAACTTAGCCAAGAAGCGATTATTCATGTGTGAGCCTTGGAAGCTTATTATAACAATTAATCGTAACATTTGGCATAGCCCTTTTCACGTCAGGAGAATATCTCAAAGCTCTTCAAAGGCTTCACTGCAGAGTATAGTGACTGCGTGGTTGCGCGGCTGATCATAAACTGAGCTGGGGGTCGGGATTTGGGTGGACCGCGGGGAAGGGAGGGTTAGGAGGGTGATCGAAGGCACGGTTGAAGAGGAGGGTGTTGAGACGGGTCTTGAAGGAGCAAAGGAGGGGGCGAGGCGGAGGGACTGCACGATGGCGTTCCAGAGGGCAGAGAGACTGAAGGCCTACCTGCCAATGGATGGGGTGGGCAAGGCAGGGGACGTGAAGCAGGGCGGAGCCCACTGAGTGGAGGGAACAGGCAAGTTGGTAGGAATTTAAGAGGTCACAGAGGTAGGGAGGAGCAAGTCCATGGTGGGCTTTGCAGGTGAAGACCAGGATCTTGAACTGTACCCTCTGAGAGATGGGGAGACAGTGGAGCTGGGCGAGGATGGGGGTGATAGGGTCGCGGAGCCTGGTGTGGGAGAGGACACGGGGTTAGAGCAGGAAACGAGAGGGACGTGCATGGCATGCACAGTGCTTGAACACACAACCTGTTGACTCAGAGACGATAGTGCTATCAACTGAGCTGAACAAATGATTGTGTCACAGCTGTAAGATCACCCAACATCTACTCCATTGAATTTCCAACATGCATGAATGAGGATCAGGAACTGGTATCAAACAGAATGCCCTCCTCACTAAACCTGTGGCTAACTGTAGCAGTCCCCACCTCCCGCTTAATGTCATATCGGACTGTGCAAGGGATCAGGGTGCAAACAACAAGATTCCATTTATTGAGCGCCTTTCATGTCGGGAGGACGTCCCAAGGCGCTGCCTCTGCATCACCAATCCACAGCTGATGGTGTGAAAAAATATTGTGGTACATTGATGGTTTGAAAAAATATTGTTCAATATTTTCCAACGATGGTCAGATTAGAAGAACATGAAGAAGTGGATGTATGTCTAATACAACCACCATCTTTTTGAATAGAAACTTCAATGGCATCAGTAAGGTTTCTTAGTTTTCAAATTAAAAGTTTGCAAAAATATTTTCATGTTAGAGGATTACCTGATATGAGCAGGAGTGGTTCCACAGCAACCTCCAACAATGTTTACAAGCCCATTCAAGGCAAATTCCTGCAAGACAGGAGCCAACAATTGTACATTGAGAGCTGCAATGAATGGATGTGCTTAAATATTCTTTCATTTGAATTTCGGAGGAATCAGGAGAGGGGAAGGCTCATGTGGAATATTAACAATGGCATGGACTATTCTGGACAAAAGGGCCTCTTTCTGTTCTGTAATGTTCTGAGTATTCTATGTAATTCAACGTCTATTTAACACAACAACAAAATTACATTTGTATAGCGCCTTTCACGTCGGGAGGACTTCCCAACACATTTTCCACAATAAATTCATGACACAAATCATAGTCAACTGGAAATTATCTGTTCCAACAAATGCTCCCTTATGGCTCCCTTATTTAAAGTGTAATTCAATCCCATTACTGTAAACTTTCTGGTTTCCCAAAAGTAGGAAGCAAACTCCCCAGCTAGTTCATGTTTGCACTTACACTGACTTGATCAACCACCAACCAACACATGAATAAATTGAAAAGGACTGCAGGTTTGGAGGTTGCATCTCAGTGAAGGTCAGGTTTACCTTTAGGTGCTTGGCAGTGACTTGGGGGGTCTCATCATAGTTTCCAAATGTGTTGGGAAGACCTATGTTCACAAAAGACACATTTCAGACACTCACAAACTAAGATCCTGGAAACCTTGAGCAATGCTAACTACATACTTGGGCTACTTCACCAACTGGGTTTGTACACTACTGCCAAATATTAATCAGAGAGTTCCTTCCTGGTCTAGTAAACATTTGTAAACTTTACTCCCTATCTCATATCCCCCCTTGCTGAAGACATGTTCCTGGGCCCCTCACCCAATGGTCATTCTTTCAGTGTGAACCCAGATAGCACCAGCAAGCTAGGAAACCATAGGAACCTCACAGAAGCTTCCGACTATTCAATTAAAATTTAAGAATCTGCAGAATTTTGGAAAATTTCAATCTCGATCTGGAAGCTCCCCCCTGCTCGGGTCCCGACCCAACTGTCCAGCACCTTGGGACGTCCTCCCGACGTGAAAGACGCTCTATAAATGAAATCTTGTTGTTGTTGTTGTTTTGCAGGTCTAGGGACAGTAGGAAAACAGTTCCCGAATTAAGAGTGTATTTTAGAATTTTCCCAAATTCAAGACCCTGAGGCAATTTGAGTCTCAGGTGTCCAGAAGTGGGTTCTCCTACCTGATATTACCATCCTATTTTTCTGTCTCCTAGAAATCCACCCATCCCAATATTGCCCTCTTAGATCCAATCCCGATATTGCCTCCTGAACCCCATCCACACATACGTTTCTCAAATCAATGTTTATGGGATCCTCAATCTCTAGAAACCGATTATCAAAAATCTAGACAATCTGGATATGAGGGTTGGATCTGGACTATCACTGTATCGTCAGTGATGCTACAGGGAGGAAGTCATGGCCAATTATGGTGCATGTCTGGCATGAAATAGTTGCTTCCAATTCATTAGGTTACTCATTGATGAGGATTAATGTACATGAACCTGGTCACTAACCTGCATTAGGATAACATAAAACGTATGCTGTCGTAGATTTTCCGATTGCCTCTATGAACGGCCTAATTTCTATGGCTCCCAAGGCGCAATTTAATCCTATGCTGAAAGAAAATAAATCATACAACAAATGACTAATGAACAAAAATTCAGTTAATATAATAAATAATAGTAATAATTCTTGCATTTGACAGAACACCTTTCACATTGAGAAGACGTCTCAAAACCCTTCACAGGATTTCACTGTGAAGTGTAGTGACTGTGTATTTTGTAGGCAAAAGCAGCAGCCAATTTGCATACAGCAATGTCTGACAAACAGCCATGAAGTGAGAGACCAATTTTATCTGGGGGTTTTTTGGCCATGAAGTTGCGAGAAACTCCCTTCTTTTCAAATAGTGCCTTGGAACTTTCAAATCAGCGCCTTGGACGTCCTCCCGACGTGAAAGGTGCCTATACAAAAGTAATCTTGTTGTTATTTTAGTGCCATGGGATCTTTAATGTCCACCTGAACAGGTAGTTGTTGTAACATTTCATCCGAAGTGTCTGAAACTGCCTCAAGAGGAGTTGCAGTCCCAGGAATTCTGAATCCTAAATGCTAACAATGCTCCCAAAATCCTGACATTTATAGAAGAGAATCCCAGGTATTTGGGAATTGTTTTAAGGAAACTTGTTGTATTTTTAAAGTACACTGACTTTGCTGATTTCAGATGTGTGCCTGACTGGTTTAATTTAATTACTTTTCTGTAGAAACATGTTCTCAACCCCCGGGATACCATAGCAACAGCTGCAATATCAGAGCAAATGATCAGATCATTGACCACCTCTGCCTTGGAGTAGAAGAAAACCATAGCAAATGGCACAGTGACATTTATAAGTATTGCTGTTAATATTCTTCCTGCTCTATAAATCAGGAAGAGACCTGATACACAGACTTGTTTCTGAAATCTGCATTCAACAGTTTATGTTAATAACAGATTAAAATGGAAAACAGCAAACAATCTGTATGGATATTAATGGGGTAAGATGTAGCATTTCAGGATCCAGGATTCGAGGGATTAAAATACTGAAATCCCTGGATTCAGAAAGTGCATCGGGATTGCAACATCAACCTGAGAGGCACTATGAGTAGATGTTGCTTAAGGTGGCAGGATGGGAATCCTTTGTACCCCTCCCTAACTAGCATTTGTTGCTTTTTTCCCAAAACGTATTATTCAAGCTTTTGGAGCTGCAGTGCATCCAGCAACTGGTTGTAAATGTGCACAGTATTGTATCTAGTTACTCACTCAGCCAAACCTTCAGGGCATATTGTCAGTCTTACACCAGCTTTTCATTTAAACTTCATCTCAAGGGAGCATGATGAAGCATGTGGCATTGTGCACTCTGAATATTATTACGTTTAAAACAGTGGTAACATTACAGCAAAGCGTAACCAACTAATGCTGTCCATAAACCTTTGGCATGCGATACACAGCGATTTTGATTTCAGCGTAATGAAGTATTATTAAATACGCATTCACACACACAAGTGCAACTCCAAAGCAAAATGTGATTCACTAAAGCTGCAATGATTTTTTTCTAATATTGTTTCAACTCTTCTGATTCCATCCACATAGCACACATTCCAGAGCTGTCATTCATTATACAGTGAGCAACGGGTAACCAGAATTGTACCTGAGCAGAAGTATTTGAGGACCACGAGCCAGAAGAGTAAAATTCCAGTGGTTTATATGATCCCCAAACCCCTAGAGTACAACGTTGCTGCAACCTATGCTGCAGTCTTGAAACATGGCAGAACAGCAGCAATCTTTTACACAACCTTGTGCTCATGCTTCTCCCAGTCCAGATTTTACAAAATGATTTGGTGGAGAAACAATTTTACAAGCTTCCACTTTGATGCTGCTGTTGTGCATTAAAACAGGTCATGTCCTGCTGATAATTATCCTTTATATTCAAGCACTCTGCTTACGATCGTTTTATTCTTACCAAAGTGGATTAGAATGGGACATACTGATGACAAATGCTTCTCCTGTCTGACCAGAAAGGGTACGTCCACTCTTATCTACAATTGTTCCAGAAATCTGCACCAAGCGAAAGAGATTGTCAATGAGGTTTGGAGGTTACAAAAAAAATTGAGTTGACGGGCGGTGGGGAGCGGAGGGAGGGGGACAATTGTACTTCACACTTACAAAGATGGGCCTGGGTTCGTACTGCTCAGCAAACAACCGCTGAATGGCAAACAAGGCAGCCTGCGAAAAGGATGTTTACTGTTAGTTAAACTGAAACTTGGTATAACGCTAAAAAACTGATATGTGAGGGCATGCCAGATGCAAGCTACGTCACTGCAGAGCTGACAGTTCTAGCTCATTTACCCCTCACCCTCTCCCTGACCAACATCCACAAAGTGCCTGGACTCTGAAGCATGTAACCCCTGTAAAAGGACAGACACCTATGCCAAAATCATCCATCGTATCAATAATAATAATAATCACTGTATTTTATGTAGTGCTTTATCATGTCTTTGAGACATCTCAAAGCTTCAAGACGTCTTATAGAATATACTGTGAAGTAAATTGACTGTATATTTTGTGGGTGAAACGAGGCACTGCAGTGTCCCACAAAGTCATGGATTGAGTGAACAAATTTTTAAGAAAAATGTTTTTGAAGGGATTATTACCCAAGGAAAAGCGATCCGCCAATCAACTAACAACTGGGTTCCTACGTACTGTTAGGCAAACAGAGGCACATGGAGTAAGGAAACTTGCATAACGTTTCGCCCTGCCTGGGAATCAAACCCAGGTCCTCTCGCTTGCGAGTGATCTAACCACTAAGCTACATGACTCTAATGTACTTTCCTGCACTATTGTGCAAGCAAGATGCACAAAAGCATCATTACTGAATATTCTGAAAATAAAAATAATGTGCTCTGCATGTACCATTCCATCATGACTTGCAGACTGTGTTAAAAGTTTTCAAATTGCTAAGAAAAGCCGTTTTCAAGGGTTAATTCTCTCTAATCCATTCAACTGTTGATAGTTGTCAATGCTGGTATTAAAACCTGGTAGTCTGGTCTACCAAGGTTTAAAACAAAATACAAATGCATTGGTGTGATTTAGGACGTCCTCCCGACATGAAAGGCACTATATAAATGTAAATTTGTATTCTACTATACTGTGTTGATTTTCTAAATTACTGCAATGGAAGTTATCAGATTTTTAAAAAAATCCATAATACAGTATGAAGTAACTAAACTAGAATTTATTTTCTACGTGGGGCCAAAAAGGTGGTATCTGTTACCTAGATTGTAAATGGAGACTCGGGGGTCACAAATAGTGATCCTTGTTAGTACACATGCTAGTGCATCGTGGAAATTCTGCTCTAATGCTCTGGTATGGACTTGTTGGTTGGGTAGCTTAAGAGCATTCCAAGGCATGTCCTATGTGAAGCGTGCTATATAAATGCAAGTTATCCTTGTTTCTGTGCCGTATTGCTGGGTAACCATATCACTCTATGTAGATTGTGGGTATGTCTGAGCTAGTGTGACACAGTTCTCTTTTGTGAACCCAGGTAATGAGTATTTCATTATTTTGAGCATTGTATAGGGTTGATCGTGCGCCTCTTACCTTTGCATTGGCACTATCAAAAATTGTCTCTACTAGGAGGATGTCAACGCCACCATCCAGCAGCCCACTCGCCTGCTCCTCATATGCATCAACTAACTCATCAAAAGCTGCAACACAGTGAGTAACAGTGAAGCTCCACGAGACACAAGCTGAACAACATAAGGTAACTTGGAGTCTAGGCTGACACTCTAATGCAGTGCTGGGGGTGCGCTGCACTGTTGGAGGTGCCGTCCTTTGGATGAGATGTTAAAGGAGATCCGGTCTGCCTGTCCAGGTGGAAGTTAAAGATTCTATGACACTATTCACAAAAAGAAGGAAGTTTCTCCCAGTGTCCTGACCAACAATCCCCCGAATAAAATTGGTCACTCTCTTAATGGCTGATTGTGGGACATTGCTGTGCGTAAATTGGTTGAGGTTTTTGCAACCAAAATGCAGTCCCTACACTTTACAGTAAAAATCCTGTGAAGTGCTGACGACATGACAAGATGTATCAAAATGCAAAGGTTATTAAGGCTGTCAATTAGACATTCTTGTAAAGAAGTGGAAGATTAGTTGTGTGCTTCATATTTATCAGTCACCCACATCACTATCCACGCAGGCTGCCTGTGGATGCAAGTTACTTTCAAGTGAACTGCAGTCAAACAAGATGCACAACTGCATTTTGTTTGAAGAAAGGTTTACTGCTTTTAATCCAAATGTAACAGAGTTTCATATCATTCATCATGTGAAACCTGGTTTACAAATTAAATGTTATTTTGTAGCAATCAACTCAGGTTTCCAATTTGTGATTTGTATCAAACGGAGCTGTGTAATTCTAAAACATCTTCCCACAGTCAGCTCGTGGGGTCACACAATGAGGCACCACCAAAGGACTCCTACCTCTGCAACCGCAACCCAGCACAAAATTGTGCCGAGGGGACGTATAATGAAGTGATATTGTCATTTACACTGTCCTTGAATAGTGCAGTAATTTGGCGAGATCAAATCCAGCCCAAGCAGATTCAACTGCCCATGCAATATGCTAAGGTAAGGTTTACCTAATTGGCTACTAATATGTTCACACCACTATGGAATGGTAATGGTTGGAGGGGCAAACTCTGGAGAGCATAGCCAGGAAATTAAGTTTTCACTGTCCTCCTGGATGTTTGAGTATTTTAAAATTTGGAGAGCCTTCCCTCCATACAAGGGGGAAAGGGGAGTGGGGGGGGAGGTGAGGGGAAAATAGTGTTCCTATTCCCCTGGCACCTCTACTGCAGTAGTAAATACATTGCTTGTGTATCGACTTTAATGCAGATGTGAATACACGTCAGCTACAAACAGCCTGTGGATCCTCAGTTACAGGAAGTGTGGTACACTCCTGGTTTCCGGTGCGAATGAGCGATAGAAATGCTTGTGAGACCAGCTGGCCAGTCTGCATGAAAGCCGGACATGATGTCAGCAACAGCACCTGGCGACCTTTAGGCAGGACCAATGTGCATTTTTTTTTGCAGTTACAATTTGACATCTCCCAAACACCCGCTTTAATATATGGATCCCCAAATACCTGTTATAATTTGATGCATTACTATTATAACAACACATCAGTAGGATAAATTTTGTCATCTCAAAACAGGCAAAATCCAGTTCGGATTCACTATAAGAGGGTGAACAATGCAAGGCTTGGTGAATTCTGCTTCACAATGACAGGAAGAGCCGACATCAAAGGATAAAAAGCCACACCATTATGAACGCTTGGACCACAGTAGAGTTGTCCTGTACCAGCCGTTTAGTGGCTCATAAATAAATTCTTAATCTTTTCTCTATTCTGCATAAATGCTCATATCATATTGAACTATATGTAATGATTTATTTTGAAGTGCAGAGACTGTTCTTCATTTGGCATGCAGGAATTGAGTGACCAGCAGTATCCCACAAGTAAGAATTGATGAATTACACTTGTTTTGGGTAAACTGGATGAGGAATATTGCAATTAATCTTCTTCACAACAGAGCCATTGGATCTTTAACATCCACCTGTGCCAACAACACAGGCAAACGGGACCTCATCTGAAATACAGCATCTCCAACTCTGAAGTGGTAATGGAGTCTCGGCCTAAATTATCACCTAGACAGGCTCAAGCTCATAAACCTCTGACCCAAAGATGAGCGAGCTACCAAATGAGTTAAATGGGATCTCCAGCATTCACAAATGTTATGAGAAAAACTACTCTTTAAGCAGCCATACAAACAGCATTGCAGCAAAGCCTCCAATGTTTATGTAAAATGTAAGAAAACAATCTAATCCTCAACTTATCATTTTTAAAACCTCAGGATTATTTTCATACTTATGTTTCTGTACTCTGGTCTCTCCACAGACGGTGAAACTGACAATGTCTTGTTGGTTGGACCCATGGCACCTGCAACAAACCTCCTGATACCTGTAACAAGACAGTGAAGGTTGAGGTGTCACACTGCAAAACTCACAAACAGGTGACAACTTTAGATAAATAAAATAAGCAGCAAACATTAAGTATTTGCCTCATTGGCTGGTACGTGGCTGTAGCACATATGGCAATCCCCGAGATAGGACCCATCTTTCTATCACCTCAACCCGAATGTCAGTGGCCATAAGTTTAAAGTTATGTTAAAGTTAAAGCTATATCAAATGCAAGGATTATTATTATTATAGAAGTTTAAAGTTCAAGGTTATTATAACAGTAGAGATGAATAACCTGTTTGAGCTCCAACATCTTTTGCTGCCTTCCTGGCCACTTCCGCTGAGACTTTGTTTAGTCGGTAAGCCTACAACAGAGAAAACGCACCGGATGGAAAATGACAAATACTTTCAGAACACTTTTTCCTTTGACCCTTGAATCTTTTTAAGATTACTAACCCATCAATAGCATCATGACTATTACAGTGGCTGCATGCACACACATACTCACATAATGCACACATGCTCACATAATGCACACATACAATTGCAGATACACACTCATATACTCCATATACACAACATAAACACAGAACCGAACACACAACAAACACACAAATGTACATACAACACACAGCTGAATACGCACACAACACAAACACATAACAGAAACAAACAACTGCACACATACACACACACCCACACACATAAACAGACACACACATCGCTGACACAAAATGCTGACGTAAATCGTCAGTGGATTCAGATACCGAGATAACCAAGCTCACAGAGACGTTGCATGAGTTGCAAATGTTTCAATTGCTGCATCAATGATCAGAAAGCTATTGTTATCAACCAGAAGCTGTAGTTACAGGAGTTTCTTTTGCAGCCCAATTCTTTAAAATTCATCCCATTTTTAACTATCAGCAGAATTTTTAAGGCATTTTCAAAAGATGTGAAGGATTGAACTGTTCTCCTCACCACTCACTGAACTGACATCCATACCAGGTAGTGGAGAAATTTCCTACCAGCTGTTCCAACCCGTAGTCAGCCTGTGCAACTCGGGTGCTACTGAAAGTGTTGGTCTCCACAATATCGGCTCCAGCCATCAAGTACTCCTGAAATTCAAATGTATTACTTATCACTTTTTACTTTCCTGGGCACCAACAAAAGCATACATTTAATACTGCTTTGAGAAACGGATATGCGGAGAATTGATCCCCTCAAAGTAAAGCTGTGTAAAGTGTTTTGCAATGTCCTCCTGAAATGAAAGGCGTTAAATAAATGCAAATATATCCACACTTTTCATCACTGCCTTGATTGCTCAAATGTACTGCTCGAGCTCTACTATCAATAAGATCCAGCTATCCAAACCTCCGCCATTCATATTCTCACCTGCACCAAACGCTGCACACCCTTCACTCCAATCCTTGCCACACTCCACTGTCTCCGAAAAGTTGATTTTAAAGTCCTCACACCCTAGCACTTCCCTATCTCTATGATCTGCTCATTCCCCACTCACTGCTTGCCCCCTCCGCTTGGTTATCGCAGGCCTCCTGCATGTTCCCTGCCTCCTCCACCCAAACATCAGTGGCCGAACCTTTGGTCACTGTAACTCTCACTTTCTGAAATTCCTGTCTCTCGCTCTCTGCCTCACTCCCTCTATAACTGTTTTTAAAGTCCTGTAGCTCAGTGGTTAGAGCACTTGCCTCACAAGCGAGAGACCTGGGTTTGATTCCCAGCAGGGGGAAACGTTGGGCGAGTTTCCTTACTCCACACGCCTGTTTACCTAGCAGTAAGTAGGAACCCGGTTGTTAGGCGACTGGCAGATTGCTTTTCTGGGGGTAATAATTTCTTTTTAAAAAATAGGTCACTCAATCCACGACTGCTATGAGTAATTGGCTGCCTCATTTCGACTACAAAACATTCTGTTTACAGTATATTCCGTGAAGCACTTTGAGACACCTCAAAGACCCGATATCAAATGTAAATATTATTATTTATTATTAAAACGCGTCTATGGTTACCTCTCCCTGCCCCTTCTCCCTCCTACTGTGAAACACTCTGAGACGTGATCCCGCTATGTAAATGCAAGGTTTGTTTGCTGAAAATTGTATTGTATAGGCCAAGCCCATGATAACGTGTCCCATGTGGGTTAAAACTTCTGCAATTATTTTTCCAATGAATCGCTAACTGAATATTGATCGAGGAGTGGAGGGTGGGGGGAGTAAACCCATACTGTGCTAATGGCAGACTGCTGCTAATGTTGTTGCTGCACTGGGCGCTGTACAGCCTTAGCTTCAGATAATAATAATAATCCTTACATTTGATGTAGTTCCCTATCATGTCGTTGAGACATCTCAAAGCGCTTCACACAATATACTGTAAAGTGCAGTGACTGTATTTCTGTGGACAATATTAGTCACATTGTACCTTGTGGATTTTGCAGATGATATCGGATTGTGTGATGCTGAGAAGGTCATTGTTCCCCTTCAGGGATTTCGGATGGTCCCTGAACTCCTCCCCACGATAATCTTCCTCCTCAAGCTTGTGCTGTTGAATCATGGTACCCATCCCCCCATCCAGCACCATGATCCTTTCCTTCAAAATTGCTTCAATTTCATCTTGAAGGCAGGGCTTTATTTCTAGAATCAGGTTTAAAATGCAAAAAAAAACCTATTTCAGAATCTCATAGAAATAAAAGTACACTTTTTAGTAAAACTGTGAATTCCCAACAGTAGATCAACTTAATAAAATAATAATAATCCATGCATTTGATGTGGTGCCTTATCATGTCGTCGAAATGTCTCAAAATGCTTCACAGGATACACCGTAAAGTATATTTGTTGGCAAGCAGGGCACCCAATTTGCGCAAACAGTCACAAAATGAAGGATCAATTTTATTGGGGGACTGTTGGCCAGGAGCCTTCTTTTTGAGTAATGCCATGGAATCTTTAATGTCCATCCTAACAGACAGATAGGACCTCAGTTTAGCATTTCAATCCAAGGATGGTACCTCAATTAACGCAGTGCTCACTCAGCACTGCATTGGAGTGTCAGCTTGTCGTGATCAGAAGTGATTTATTAAAAAATGTTTTTGTTAAGTTAGGTATGCTTATGTGCTGACATGCACTGGTTGGCCTGAAGTATAGCTGAACTACACTTCAGTGGTACTTGGGCAGTTAAAAAATAATCCTAGCATTTGATATTGCGCCTCATCACGTCTTCAAGATGCCTCAAAGCACTTCATACTGTAAAGTGAATTGACTGTATATTATGTGGGTGAAATACGGTAGCCAATCGTGCACAGCAGTGTCCCACAAACAGTGGATTCAGCAATCAAATTAAGTTGGCGTGAGCACTCTGCAAGGAAGGCAGAACACCCATCCGAGGTTTTGAGATTCAAGAAATATCAAAATAAGAGAGAACAGATATCGATGACACAAGAAACCAGTTGCAAGAAATGCAATGCCTGCTATTACCAGCATCCCTGACACAAAATGAGAAGTTTGTCTGCTGCCTATGAACCTTGATGTTGTCACCACTATGACTCACAATACTTCAACATAAAAACATATATCCTGCCGACTGTAACCCTGTTTTGGTGCAATGCAAAATGATATTATTATTGAATCAATGTGAAGCTATATGTTTCTTTGTAATTAAATAAGTTGTTAAGCATAGGATACAAGTGACTTTGTTTCCTCTGTTCTCAGATTCCCGACTTTATATTTTGGCTAAACAGAATAAGAATCTTTTCTGTCCGCAACTTTTGTCCCAGGTTTAACAGAGCGGTTAGTTCCACTGCCGACCGCATCATTGAACTCAACAACTTTGGCTATGTAAGTTGAACCCAAATGAAACAGGCTGACAATGCAAATATTGCAAAGTTAAATCAAGAATATCTGCTTTTTATATTATATTTCACAATATTTATCATCAGAACTGCATAGAGCAACAACAACAACAACAAGATTACATTTGTATAGCACCTTTCACGTCGGGAGGACGTCCCAAGGCACTGGACAGTGTTCAGCATTTCAGACCCGAGCTGGGGTCGGGGGGGGAGAAGGGAGGGGAGGGAAAGGGGGGCTGGTTGATCGCATGGTTGAAGAGGAGGGTCTTGAGGCGGAACTTGAAGGAGGCTAAGGAGGGGCGAGGCAGAGTGATTGGGGGATGGAATTCCAGAGATTGGGGGCAGAGTGGCTCAAGGCTCTCTCGCCAACGATGGGGCGAGTGGGTCGGGGGACGAGGAGCAGGCGGAGCCGACTGAACGGAGGGAGAAGGCGGGTTGGTAGGAGGTTAGGAGGTCACAGAGGTAGGGTGGAGCGAAGCCATGGAGGGCTTTGTAGATGAGGACCAGGATCTTGAACTGGATCCTCTGAAGGATAGGGAACCAATGGAGTCGGGCGAGAATGGGGGAGATGGGGTCACGGAGTTTGGTGCGGGAGAGGACACGGGCTGCAGAGTTCTGGATTATCTGTAGCCTGTAGAAGGAAGTCATAGAGCAGTCATCATACAAATTGAAATGTAATTAAGTAAGAATTTGATTGAACTTTGGTTAGTTCAGGCACAATCCTGCAGACCAGCAAAACTGGTGGAACTGATGTGCATTTACAACAATATTTGTTTCAACCTCTCACACATATGCCGGCAACACTGCTGTCATTTAGACTAGATGCCGCTGACACACTTTGACGCCTAAAAAGCGCACAAACCATTTCACATCAAATACTAAATGTGTTCAACAAAGACACTGGTCCGAGTTGGAAATGAAGCTGGTAATGGAAAGAGTGGGCAGCATGAAAATAGTGAGGATAGGAGCAGCGAGGATGGGAACAGTGAGGAGGATTTGAGCAGTGGACAGACAGAATGGGAGCATTGGCTCGGGCTGTTGCACTCTCAAATTATAGTGGAAGAAATATAAGAGGAATTCAAGCTGGGCCTAGTATTACCATCTGATTATCAGAAGGTGACTGACAGGCGCTGGTGGTGCTGGTGATTGACAGGAGCTGGTGATGAGAGTGATTGACAGGCGCTGGTGGTGCTGGTGATTGACAGGAGCTGGTGATGCTGGTGATTGACAGGAGCTGGTGGTGCTGGTGATTGACAGGCGCTGGTGATGCTGGTGATTGACAGGAGCTGGTGATGAGAGTGATTGACAGGGGCTGGTGGTGCTGGTGATTGACAGGCGCTGGTGTGATGGTGGTGATTGACAGGTGCTGGTGATGCTGGTGATTGACAGGGGCTGGTGATGCTGGTGATTGACAGGCACTGGTGTGATGGTGGTGATTGACAGGAGCTGGTGATGAGAGTGATTGACAGGAGCTGGTGATGAGAGTGATTGACAGGAGCTGGTGATGAGAGTGATTGACAGGAGCTGGTGATGAGAGTGATTGACAGGGGCTGATGTGATGGTGGTGATTGACAGGAGCTGGTGATGAGAGTGATTGACAGGGGCTGATGTGATGGTGGTGATTGACAGGAGTTGGTGATGAGAGTGATTGACAGGCGCTGGTGTGATGGTGGTGATTGACAGGAGCTGGTGATGAGAGTGATTGACAGGCGCTGGTGATGAGAGTGATTGACAGGAGCTGGTGGTGCTGGTGATTGACAGGCACTAGTGATGGGAGTGATTGACAGGCGTTGGTGTGATGGTGGTGATTGACAGGAGCTGGTGATGAGAGTGATTGACAGGCGCTGTGTGATGGTGGTGATTGACAGGAGCTGGTGATGAGAGTGATTGACAGGAGCTGGTGGTGCTGGTGATTGACAGGCGCTGGTGGTGCTGGTGATTGACAGGCGCTGGTGGTGCTGGTGATTGACAGGCGCTGGTGTGATGGTGGTGATTGACAGGCGCTGGTGGTGCTGGTGATTGACAGGCGCTGGTGTGATGGTGGTGTTTGACAGGCGCTGGTGTGATGGTGGTGATTGACAGGCGCTGGTGTGATGGGAGTGATTGACAGGAGCTGGTGGTGCTGGTGATTGACAGGCGCTGGTGTGATGGTGGTGATTGACAGGCGCTGGTGATGGTGGTGATTGACAGGAGCTGGTGTGATGGTGGTGATTGACAGGAACTGGTGATGAGAGTGATTGACATGCGCTTGTGTGATGGTGGTGATTGACAGGAGCTGGTGTGATGGTGGTGATTGACAGGCGCTGGTGGTGCTGGTGATTGACAGGCGCTGGTGTGATGGTGGTGATTGACAGGCGCTGGTGTGATGGTGGTGATTGACATGTGCTGGTGATGCTGGTGATTGACAGCCACTGGTGTGATGGTGGTGATTGACAGGAGCTGGTGATGAGAGTGATTGACAGGAGCTGGTGATGAGAGTGATTGACAGGGGCTGATGTGATGGTGGTGATTGACAGGCGCTGGTGATGAGAGTGATTGACAGGAGCTGGTGATGAGAGTGATTGACAGGCGCTGGTGGTGCTGGTGATTGACAGGCACTAGTGATGGGAGTGATTGACAGGCGCTGGTGTGATGGTGGTGATTGACAGGAGCTGGTGATGAGAGTGATTGACAGGAGCTGGTGGTGCTGGTGATTGACAGGCACTGGTGATGAGAGTGATTGACAGGCGCTGGTGGTGCTGGTGATTGACAGGCGCTGGTGGTGCTGGTGATTGACAGGCGCTGGTGTGATGGTGGTGATTGACAGGGACTGGTGTGATGGGAGTGATTGACAGGAGCTGGTGGTGCTGGTGATTGACAGGCGCTGGTGTGATGGTGGTGATTGACAGGCGCTGGTGTGATGAGAGTGATTGACAGGAGCTGGTGGTGCTGGTGATTGACAGGCGCTGGTGATGCTGGTGATTGACAGCCACTGGTGTGATGGTGGTGATTGACAGGAGCTGGTGATGAGAGTGATTGACAGGAGCTGGTGATGAGAGTGATTGACAGGGGCTGATGTGATGGTGGTGATTGACAGGCGCTGGTGATGAGAGTGATTGACAGGAGCTGGTGATGAGAGTGATTGACAGGCGCTGGTGGTGCTGGTGATTGACAGGCACTAGTGATGGGAGTGATTGACAGGCGCTGGTGTGATGGTGGTGATTGACAGGAGCTGGTGATGAGAGTGATTGACAGGAGCTGGTGGTGCTGGTGATTGACAGGCACTGGTGATGAGAGTGATTGACAGGCGCTGGTGGTGCTGGTGATTGACAGGCGCTGGTGGTGCTGGTGATTGACAGGCGCTGGTGTGATGGTGGTGATTGACAGGGACTGGTGTGATGGAGTGATTGACAGGAGCTGGTGGTGCTGGTGATTGACAGGCGCTGGTGTGATGGTGGTGATTGACAGGCGCTGGTGTGATGGTGGTGATTGACAGGCGCTGGTGTGATGGTGGTGATTGACAGGCGCTGGTGGTGCCGGTGATTGACAGGCGCTGGTGTGATGGGAGTGATTGACAGGAGCTGGTGGTGCTGGTGATTGACAGGCGCTGGTGTGATGGTGGTGATTGACAGGCGCTGGTGATGCTGGTGATTGACAGGCGCTGGTGGTGCCGGTGATTGACAGGCGCTGGTGTGATGGTGGTGATTGACAGGTGCTGGTGGTGAGAGTGATTGACAGGCGCTGGTGTGATGGTGGTGATTGACAGGCGCTGGTGTGATGGTGGTGATTGACAGGCGCTGGTGTGATGGTGGTGATTGACAGGCGCTGGTGATGGTGGTGATTGACAGGAGCTGGTGATGAGAGTGATTGACAGGCGCTGGTGTGATGGTGGTGATTGACAGGCGCTGGTGTGATGGTGGTGATTGACAGGCGCTGGTGTGATGGTGGTGATTGACAGGCGCTGGTGTGATGGTGGTGATTGACAGGCGCTGGTGTGATGAGAGTGATTGATAGGCGCTGGTGTGATGGTGGTGATTGACAGGCGCTGGTGTGATGGTGGTGATTGACAGGCGCTGGTGTGATGGTGGTGATTGACAGGCGCTGGTGTGATGAGAGTGATTGATAGGCGCTGGTGTGATGGTGGTGATTGACAGGCGCTGGTGTGATGGTGGTGATTGACAGGCGCTGGTGTGATGGTGGTGATTGACAGGCGCTGGTGTGATGGTGGTGATTGACAGGAGCTGGTGTGATGGTGGTGATTGACAGGCGCTGGTGTTATGGTGGTGATTGACAGGAGCTGGTGTGATGGTGGTGATTGACAGGCGCTGGTGTTATGGTGGTGATTGACAGGAGCTGGTGTGATGGTGGTGATTGACAGGCACTGGTGTGATGGTGGTGATTGACAGGCGCTGGTGTGATGGTGGTGATTGACAGGCGCTGGTGTGATGGTGGTGATTGACAGGCGCTGGTGTGATGGTGGTGATTGACAGGCGCTGGTGTGATGGTGGTGATTGACAGGCGCTGGTGAGTGACAGGCGTCACTGTGCGTGGCTGCCGCGCGCTGTGTGTGTGTGTCTCGCGGACCGGGTGAGGTCACTCACTTGCTCTCTGCGCCCCTCTCGCGGTGCTGGTCGCCATTCGGGCCGCTGTGTGCAAGAGGGACAGTGACTCACGCGCCGCGCGGCAGCCGCTACACGCCAGCCCGGCCACCCGCACACTCCGCAGTGCGCAGGCGCTGTCCCCGCCCCACCAACAGACTCCAGTGCGCAGGTGCCGGACTCTGCCCATGCGGCCTCGAGTGCGCAAGCGCCAGTCCACACACACACACACACGCAGATACCAGTGCGCAGGCGCGTGTGACCCGCTCAGTGGCGGCCCGGATGCTGTGGCCGAGCGTTCCGTCTACACCCGGGAATCCCAGAGAGAGAGGACCCCACAGCTTAGCCGTCCACGTGGCTGTCCGGCGCTCTCCGGCTGCATGTCCGGCTGGGACCCCCTCTCTGTCCGGGCTTCGGCTGCAGGGTTAACGGGAGCGGAGTGGGATGACTCCCTGCCCCCCCCCCCCCCCCCAGTGAAGGGTCTGCCCTTCCCGGTCCCGCTGCCGAGCCAGGCTGGCGGGGGTCAGGGGTCAGACCGCCACAGAGGGCTGGCGGGGGTCAGGGGTCAGACCGCCACAGAGGGCTGGCGGGGGTCAGACCGCCACAGAGGGCTGGCGGGGTCCAGACCGCCACAGAGGGCTGGCGGGTCCAGACCGCCACAGAGGGCTGGCGGGGTCCAGACCGCCACAGAGGGCTGGCGGGGTCCAGACCGCCACAGAGGGCTGGCGGGGTCCAGACCGCCACAGAGGCTGGCGGGGTCCAGACCGCCACAGAGGGCTGGCGGGGTCCAGACCGCCACAGAGGGCTGGCGGGGTCCAGACCGCCACAGAGGGCTGGCGGGTCCAGACCGCCACAGAGGGCTGGCGGGTCCAGACCGCCACAGAGGGCTGGCGGGGTCAGACCGCCACAGAGGGCTGGCGGGGTTCAGACGCCACAGAGGGCTGGCGGGGTCAGACCGCCACAGAGGGCTGGCGGGGTCCAGACCGCCACAGAGGGCTGGCGGGGGTCAGACGTTCTGTTGTCAGGCAGGTCACCTTGGAGCCAATTCAGCCCCAAGGTGACCACCCCCCCCCCCCACCCGAGGAAGGTGGTAGAGATTTGCTGTGGGGCAAAATCTATAGGTAGGGAATTTTCCACGGTTACATGCCATGCATATATAGGACTCACCATCTGGTTTGGACACTTCAGCATAGCGATGGGCATGGGATACAGAGCAGGCTGGCGCCTGCCACGTGAATAATAATAATCCTTGCATTTGATAAGCGCTTTTCACGTCTTCTCGACGTCTCAAAGCGCTTCACAGAATATACTGTAACGTGAATTGAGTGTATATTTGGGGCGAAACGCGGCAGCCAATTGCGCACAGCAGTGTCCCACAAACAGTCGTGGATTGAAGTAACCAATTTTTTTTTCTTGAGGGATTATTATCAGGTGTGTGGAGTAAGGAAACTTGCCCAAGGTTTCACCCTGCCGGGAATTGAACCATTTAATATTTGCAGTCGATTTTTTAAGTCATTTTTAATACTGAGGAGCAGACAACCTCTGATGTAAAGTTTATTTGGTATGAAGGTTCAATTCCCAAACAAGCTTTCCAAGCAAACTAACAACAACAACAACAAGATTCCATTTATAAAGCGCCTTTCACGTCAGGAGGACGTCCCAAGGGAAACTTAAGGGAATTGATTTATTGACATTGATTTATTGTAATGGATGAAAGACCATAATGTGAAGTCATCCTTTGGGTCAGTATGGTTTGAAGAGGTCACAGAAATATATTGGCCTGAATTTCTAATATTTTCTGGTTTTACTTGAAGAATAATTAGATGATTGGTGGGGAGGGGAAGCAAACAAAACATTGGCTAAGATGGACAGAAAAAATGGGAAGGGGGAAGACGCTTTGAATTCTGACTTGTGTACACCATTTTCTCTCTCTGTATAAATAAAATATTCCTTGCATTTGATATAGGACCTTATCATTATATTTCTATGGCTGCTGATAAAATAGTTTTCCACTCAACATATGGCTATTCAATGGTCTTTATTTCAGCAAATTAAGAATATAATAAATAGATATTTTCATGAGCCGTACTAATAATTTGCAGGAATATGTTGAAATAATAAGTCAGACAGTTTAACAAGTATCCATTTTAATAAAATGTGAAGCATCAATAATGATAAAAATGTAATTGTTATATTTACAAGTCCACATAACTTTATAAGAAAAAGTGCTACACATGCAGTCAGTTGAACTCTAAATGTCCTTAGTTCCTTTCTAGAATAGGTATTATTGCAATGACAAAAGGTACTTTTCTGAAACTTTGAAAGTTTTCATAAACTGTTTGTCAATACAAAAAGCCTGCACTTTATTGTTATATTTTAAAAAGAAAATAGCATGCTCTTAAAATGTCAGAAAGTGAATTCTGTAAAATCTGATGTGGAAGTTCATAGAAAATGCAAACCAGAGATTCTTCATAGCATTTGGAAGGACCAGCGAGTGCAATCACTTCGGTGCTGAGGAATACTGTACTTATGTTTTCCTTTGGAAAGATTGCAATAGAATTTACAAATTCCTCAGTCATTTAGGTCATTGTCAGATCATTTAGTCTACGCAGAAAGGATCGAGTTTGTAAAGAGAAAATTTATGTTTTCACACACAACTAATGATAAACTAAGCAATGGAAACGTAGAGATTCAAAATGAAATGGTTTCGACATCAGAATTTACAGTGACACAGGTACTCGCAAATCATTGTAATGTTTTTAAAATGATAGATTGATGGAATTCAAGAATATGGTACTTAAATTATATTGTGCTGGTATTGCAAACCATATTTCATCGATTTCCTTTTAAAAAAGGAGGTTCACTCTAACATTTCAAACTTGGCGATCATACTATCTTTTCAATTACTAAATAATTCAGCCTTCGAAAACCAAATGATGAAACTTGCATTGGAAAGAAAGGAAATGCTCTGCTTCTGAATCCTAGTTACAGGTCGCTTTCACCATAGAGTGCAGTGGCAAATGAGATATAGTCCAGGGCTCCTGGAACGCTACCTGGACCTGTGTAACATGGCATTCTAGCGACGCAGTACTCCGCCTGATCTGAGGGCAGCTCTCGACGCAACTCCTCTGCTAGAATGTAAGGCTGCAAGCAAACAGGTGACTTTGTGGTGAGACATAGCAATATTTCAAACAAATAATTAGACTTCCAATATACACACTCTCTTCCGGGGAAACACGGTCAATAACGCTCTGTTTCGCATGAGGATAATTAAACAAAATCTCCACTATTGCATCATTATTCAACCTCCTCAAGGGCAAGATTCATCCCCTTATTACCAGCAACACAAATATTATTGCATCCTCTTGGAGTTTCTCATTCTCCAATATCCTTGTAACCTCCAATACTGTTCCTCAGCAAATCTCTTCAATGAAGATGACTCACCAGACAGTAATCTGCTTTGGTTGGCTCTGTTTTAAATATCCACTATTCTTTTGGGATAAATGCCCAACTTCTAGTGCTTTCTTATTTTAAACCCAAATTCTCTTGCTCTGTTCCACAGTTACAAATCAAACAATGTACTCATATATCTTATCTATCCATTTCAATATGTATTTGAAAAAAAGGGATCATTGCCCCTTGAGTCCTTTTTCTAAACTAAACAAGTTCATCTCTGAGGTTACTGTCATAATTTTAGACTTGTAAGGACTGGGGCAGCCTCAATGGTGCAGTGAAGTGGTGCCCAACCCATGGCTGGAAGTGGCATAAATCAATCAAGAAAATAACTTTTCACAATTCCAGACAATTGACCCCTCTGGACAAACTCTTGCAGGCTGAGACTAAGTATACCTTCAATGTGCCTGAATCAATCTAGTCATTCTTCTCTAGAGCGCATCAATGCTCTTTTGATGTTTAAAACAGCATGAGCTAGCTACAGTTTCTGTTCAGTGATTAACTGTTGATGATGTCCTGCTGAAGGAGTCATCAGGATCGGATTTGATAAGGTACTTTACAAAAAATACATCCTTTTCTACTCTAACATTTCCTATTTACAGATCACAGACTCACCTTATCCCCTGCCAGAATCCTGAAGGAACCCACGACCTGCTCGGATGTATCTGTATCAGCCGTTTCTTGGGTCATGAAGTCGATGAAGGATTGGAAGGACACTATGCCAGTGCTGGTCGGATCAACTATGCTCATGATGCGAGCAAACTCAGCCTCACCCTATGGAAGAGTCACAGATTACAAATGGAAAACGACAAATAAGAGCGATGAGCAGCCCATGTTACTGAGCTGCCCAAGGCCCTGATTTCCTTTATCCAGCCAAGGTTCTCACCCAGTGAATATAAATGTAAGTAACACAATTATTTTGAGAAAGGATTTAGGCGGAAATGTTCACCAAATGATAAAAAGACATAGATTTCTACTGGAATGTCATTTTTAAAAGTGAAGGCAGCAGAATTCAGCCACTGAAAGTCAACAATTTACATAGTGCGTTCAATGTTGGGAGGACGTTTCCCACCACTTCATAAAACTGATGGGAGCCTGAGCTTGGGGGAGGGGGGGGGCAGGGGGGAAAGGGGGGGAAGCTAAGGAGGGGAAAGGTAGTCAATACCTTGTCAAACAGATGGGTCTTGTGGCAGATTTGAAGGCAGAGAAAGAATGGGAGGGAATCCAGGATGGAGTTTTAGAGGGGGGGTGCGATGGGGGCAGAGAGACTGACATGCCAGTGTTTACTGAGCAGAGGGAATGGCAGGGGCTCTTGAGTTTCCAGACAGGGTTGGGTAAGGTCATGGAGGGATGTTGACTTCAATCCAGACATTTGGGAGATGGTGAACCTAGCAAGGACTGCGACAGTAGGCTCATGGAGGTCAATGTGGGAGAGGTCATGAGGACTGCAAAGTTCTGGATAGTCTACTACATGCGTAGAGAGAATCTGAGGAGTCCAGCAACCAAGGTGTTAGAGTAATAAATGCTGGTGATGATAAAGGCATCATTGAGGATCTAGACAGTTGGGTTTGGGGGGCGCCAGGGAAACATAAGAATTAAGAGCAACAGTAGGCCATTCGGCCCCTCTAGCCTGCCCCGCCATTCAATAAGATCATGGCTGATCTATTCT